TATGCATTTTTTCAAATTATAAATCTACGAAAGCTTTATTGATGACACTGAACTACTGAAGTGATAAATGACTTGGATGATAGAAGGTCTTTCACTGTTTAAGAATCTTTTCTTTTACTTCGTATTCATTTTGCTTCTTTCTTTCAGGTAAATTACTTTTCTGCATTGTAGTTGCGAGGTTGACTTACTTAGGCTCCAAGTAGATTGAGGAATCTAGTCAGCCCAGTTAGGCAGCATCTTTTGAAATTTAGTGCAAAGCTAATTTAGATAATGATCTTAAAAATTAAGCGGATTTCCTCAGCCATTTTATGAAGCTCTAGATGTTCTATACTTTAGGCATACTTTGAGGATATTTGATCAAGATGACATAATTTATATAGAGTGTCATAAGCCCCCTAATAATTTACTTCTTGGGTGGTCTAGGTATTGTACTTTTATATTTGATGTGAGCTGACCAACTCTTCAATGCTACAGTCATGAAGATCAACATGAACATTTCCCCAATGTCTCGTCTCCCAATTAAAAATTCTGATAGCTACCCACTAAAAAGCCTTTTTATTACTTGTCAAATGGATTTGTTGTGAATTTTATGAACAATAATCTGCCAAATTTCATGTAAGAATATCAGGAAATTGTTCCTATTTCTTTTATAATTTGTGTTGTATGGATGTAGCATCATTATTCTATGATATATGTCTTTCCAACCAGTTTAAAAGTGGCTCCCCATATTCATTAATGGTCAAGGTTCTCTAAAAATAATGAATCTTAAAAAACTGTGGCAAGGGCCTGTTATGCTGCATTATATAATCTAAACCATTTTAACTGTATTATGAACACTATGGTGAGACGAATAAAGGATGAACCTTAACGTATACAATTGATCTACTCTAAAGTTACCAATTTTCAAGCTTATATCTCTTGGTATTACCTATGCTTCTCACTAGCAACCCTTTGTTTGAGTATAAAGTTGTGTCAGAAGACTCAAAACTCTATGAAGCTATTTGTCTTTCTTTTTCCACCCCTTTTTGAATGAACAAATGTTAGTGGGGCTTCTCATTTGTATCAGAATTTTCACCATATAATATACTACAATTTGCAGGTAGTGGGATAATTGACTTTTCCTCATCACTTGCTTTTCCTGAAGTGATGCCTAGTGTTTATCTTGGTCCGAGTAAGTATGAAGAGGGGATTGATAATTCCATCAAGAGCTCAAATTTCCTTCTCCAAATGGGATGTGTAGGAGAGAAAATAAATAAGTTTCCTGCAAATGTTAAGGACGACATTGCTGGCTTTGCAAAACCGACTAATGAAACTTTATCCAGCATTCAGCAAACTAGTCGTGCTCTCTCTCTTCTGTCAGCTCAATCACATAGTATATCAAGCCAGTTGCTGGAAACTGCAAGCGCGACACTGACCAACAGAGGCAACCATGCAGATTCGAATCCTGGGCATTCTCTTAACCATTCAGCTGGCATTTTTAATAAAGTTTCAGCAAGTGGCCCTCATGAACCTGGAATCTATTCAATGGACGCTGACGAGGATGGACCCACCATGATCAATCATAACAATAGCAACACTGTTGGTCTTCATCTCCCAAGTGATGGCATTTCAAGGCCGGGTTTAAGGAACACTGATTGTCACCATCCCAAGGAACGTGGCATCATCCTTAACTTGCTTCAACTGTCTTCGAATCTTCAAAGAGTTGAGCAGCAAAAACACTCAACTGAAAATGAAGCAGGATAAACAAAGTTATTCTTAAAAAGTGGATATGGACCTTTTCTTGCTCTGAAGGGCAGTGCATGCATTAAGGTATGTGACGTTCCTACTTAATAAAAAAAACATAATTATTGCCATCTTTATTGATTCCTTGCTGCTGAATTAGCATGCACAATTAACAAATTCCAATGGCTATTATTAAAATAGGCTGCTTTGTCACAAGCCTGACTTGATGCTAGAATCATAAAATACGAGGTTTATGGGGGAAAAAGTATCATACTAAGAGTGGCACGTGTGTAGACGTGTTTTTTTTTAAAAAAAAAACTGACAGCTACTCGAGATACTACCTTCTCCGTCTTATTGATAGAAAAGCACTTCTTTTTTTTTTTGGCAAAACTGAGGCTCATTCACTTTGTATGAGTTTCAATACTTGGCCTTCATGTATATTGAATATAGTATTAGCAGAATTGACGTCAGAAGAGGTCAGGGGGACACATTTAGATCCATAGATGTCTTTCACTAACTTTCATTCTGAGAAGTGGTCACCCGGGCCTATTTAGATTCCCTTTGTGCAAGTATGGAATCATAATTTCTAGTGGGTAATCAACTTGGTATTTTTATTGTGAAATGGTGCTTTTTTTTTCCGATCTCTGAGTCATCCTCATTATAATAATAATACACCTTGTCTGTGGAAACTGGAAAACTTCTCTGTATTCTTTTTGCCTCACTCAACTAATGCAACCACAAAAGCCAACGAAGCAACGACGTGGTAGGGAACCTGTAAGTGGCTTTTTAATAGAATAAAACAAAAATCAGAGCTTATAATTCCTTTTTTTTTAATGCGTATCACTTTTGTAGGCCGTCTATTCAGGTGGTTTATGGAAACCTAGGTATCATTATCATATTTAATATTATATGCTGGCGTATCATAGCTGATTTATGTTTCTAAGACATCGTGCTTGTAGAGTCATGTTAGTATTCTTTTACTCAATCACTAATCATTCTATAATTGTTAATTCTTGTATTCCCCATCATTCCTGTCATCACTGGTCAAACATGTACGGCATTGTTTAATTCACTAGGTCTCATATTGTCTTTATGTTATTGTGAACAACTGAACATCATCATCATCATCATCTAGATCCTTCAATAAGAATATGTTTCGTTTAAGCCTACAAAAGGAAGGTTACTTGTGTAGCATCCTAGCTTTTATCTTGACTAAAAATGAGATTCATGGTTCTAACTTCTGACTATTCACTGAGACAACAGACAACGCTCAAGGTTTTTTAATGAGTAAAAACTTTTTCTTGGACATAGTTCTCCTTTTCTAATGTAACCATAAAGATTAGTGCCCTGGCAGTGTTAATTCTTCTTCATGTGTTTTTCATCCTCATGGGAAGGAGGGGAAAAAAACTTTATAAAAAAGGTATCCTATGAAGAAAACTAGCTCAACTAGTTCTTATTTTTAATTTGGTTAGCATTTTGTGATACCATAGTGTCAGATTGTTTTTGTGATAATTGATGGCATCTTGCTTGATTGATCAACGTAATACGATGCATTCTGCTGCCTGTGTGCTGCGATGCTGGTGCTTACAAGCATCCTTGTGTGCAATGAATATGCCTTAAACTTGACTTCTTTGTTTCTAAAATTAGCTTATTTTTATTATTACAGGCATGTAGGCTCCAAGATACATAGAAATCTGTTTGTTATTGGTTAAATTTCATGGTGTTCATCGATGAGTTATGCAATAATGCATATCACTAATTCATTATGCTTACGTAGATCATCCAGGTTTATATTTTAGGATTTGTTAAGGAAAATAAACCTTTAATGAAGAAAATAAGTATTTTTCGTTCAAAGGTGAACTAGACATGCCTAGCAACTGTCAGTTTATGGGACATCAACATTGCAGTGGACAGCTCTTGAATTTAGCTTTCCAGGGAAGAAGAAAAAAAGAAAGGGAAAAGGTCACATGAACTGGAATGAATTTTCTAGCCAAATTTTTTCGTCGTGATTGAATAACTTTGCATGTTATTCTTGACAGTACTTTGAACACAAACTTGACTGATTCTATGTTGATACTTTTTGCAGTCTTGATGTCGAATTAAAATTTTGCAATGCCCGAACATGGTACTTCCCGCCAGCAGTAATCAAGCGATGTATGATATCCAAAGCAATAGAGTTGGGCCGTGCTTAGTGAGTGATACTGTACAAAGCCGAAAACTTGAAACTTGTTTTCCAGTTTACCTTACAGTAAAGAAGCTACCTGCTGGCTGTTGCAATGAACCAAGGCAGTACAGTGTTGTTGCTTCCATTTTGAATATGCTGCTGCTTTTTTTTAATGGCAGATGTTTTTGATAATGAATTGTAAGTATCTGATTTCATGTCACTCCCTATGTATGGCCTTATGTAATTAAATTTTAAAAATTTTGAACTGTTCTATACTTACGATGCCTCCTGATTCATTCATTCTGCTCTTTGCTTTAGAATTCCAAGGTGAAAGAAAGTTATGGATCAATGGACAAGTTTATTAGTTTTTCATTTGATCCACCTTCCTCACTTGTGCCGCCTTCATTAGGCGGGCGGGCGGGGGTCTTAATCAAATTAGACCAACATGTGAAACGATTAGACCAACTTGTGAAATGAACAGGTCTGGTGGGGTTGGGTTGGGTTTAATCATATTAGACCAATGTATGAAACGAACAAGTTAGGGGGGATTGATAATATCAGTAGTCCACCAGACTTATATGCATGCCCTATCTATCAATCACTTCAGGTAACAATGTAAAAATAGTTTGCATAAGGATGGAAAGGGAAGTTATTGTGGATATTTTAAAATCATTTGTGGTCTTATACATCTAAAACCAACCACTAATTTTAATCAATCAATCAAAGCCTTAATTCCATAAAATGAAGTATTCAATGAACTTTTTTTTTTTAAAAAAAAAAAATAGCACCCAATGAGAATAAGTCATTTTAATAAGCAGCTTTAACCCGTTTATTAATAGTTCACCATTATTCCAACCATTAGATTGTGGGGTCAAAAGTTATATTAGTCTACCTTTTGTAACGATGTGACTACATAAAAAAACTTTTTTTTTTTTATTTTTTTTTTTAATTCTCATTTTTGGTTCAACAAAATACAATGCTATTTATGCTTCCCATGTGAAAAGTAAACTACTAAGCTATTACTTCGTATTAGATATATTGAAGTGTTATGCAATGAAGTTATGGAAAAGACAGCTCAAATAAAATAACTGCATAATAATAAACTTATATTGCATTTAAAGTACTTAAGTAGCTTAGCTTAAACAGTTAAACCTTAATTAGTTACAACAAACGACTGCATTAGCAATATCATCATGCAGTTACAGGCAGTGAAACTGAAACATAATTAGAATGACAAACTTCATATTTGTCAACATAAAACAAGACGATCCGATGATCTGAATACAAAGGTGTACTAACTAATTCTCTACTTCTTTCTTGCCCTACTACAACCATATATATTATAGCCGTCTGATTCGAAACAGAAGGCATCCTCTTCCCTGCATATCATGCACCAGAAAATAAAAAACACAAAGTTAGTAAAAAATACTCGACCTAGAATTACTTGTCACGTTGATGTAGTTTATAATAGTAAACGCGAAAACTATTGTAACAAAAATAAAATGCGTTTAAAAGAAATGGGAGTTGTGCTTACGTAGGAAGTTTATAGTTTAATTGGGGTTGCTGCTCTCCGCAAGTGACCCAGCTGGAGTGTGCGGAAGAAACCTTGCCCACTGAACATTATCACATACAAACAATTACGAAGTAATAATTATTGTACTACTACAGTACTACCTCTGTTACAAATTATATGCAACTTTTAGGTATTATTTGTGAGATATAAAATATTTCAAAGTTGCACATAATATGTAATGGAGGTGGTATTTTTTTTTTTATTTATCATGTTATTGTTCAAGAAACAACAAAATAAACGCTTCTTCCATAAACAATTTGACCGTCTTATTAAATAAATTCTATAAACTCATAAACCTATCCATTACGTAGTAATCTTCACACTTTGAATTAGTACTCAGTACATAGTATATAGTATATAAAAAGAGTGGATAAATTCTTTAAAATAATAATCTAATATATATATATATATATATATATAAAAGGGAGTTTTTTCCCGAGTTTTTAGAGAGCCACAGGATCTAGTTTTCTTAGTGCGCCATGTTAGATTATAAATCTTAGTAGTAGCCAATTAAATAGGAGATTATTAATTTCTTTTAGAATTAAATAATTCAAATGTCATGTAAGCAAAATTGGCGAATGAGATTTTTAAGTTTAAATTAATTAAATATTATATATTATCTTTTAATATTAGGAATTTTATCTAAATATATAACAAATTGAAGGCTCATAAATACAAAAAAAAAAAAAAAAAAAAAAAAAAAAAAAAAAAAAAATCAAACAAACCGTGCATCGCACGGGCTTCATCTAGTTTTGATATAATTAGGAACATTAAAAGTACAGAATAACAATCTTTGCTACTTGCTAGCTAGTTTTAAAATAAACTTTGTATGATAATAACAATAATGCTAAATTATATGCTATAGTCTATAGCATGCAAATAGAAATTCTTATCTAGTATCGTACAAGAACTTCTTAAAGAAATTCATAATCATCTAATTTTAGCAAAGAAATGGAGAAAATCAGTAGTTAAAAGTCGTATTTAATCCCTTAGATAGATAGTCCTATATATATATATATATATATATATATATATATATATATATATATATGTTTTTTTTTTTTTTGACATCTTAAAAATGTTTAATTGGATTCAAGGATTTGGGATGAGATTATTCAAAAACATCCTAAAAATGTTAAAAGAGATGGAAAAGTAGTTAACTTACGTTCTTTGCGGCTGTGCTAAAAGCCTCTCTATGAGGTATCTCAGGATTTGCTGCTTTGATGCGCTGAATCTCCTCCCTAACAAATCAGAAGAAGTACGTGGTTTATTTGTCACATTACTAGATCAAATCTCGACCTCAATATGACATTTAATTCCGGATATGCATGAACGAATTATGAATTATTACAGATAATGAAGTTTTAGTGTACAATTTTGATGCTTACTTCATGAATCTATTATAAGCGGATGGAAGCCTATGCTTCTTCTCAGGAGCTGCAATAAATAAAAATTCAATTCCATAAATCAGTTATCACGCTATAATAACTTAATTAGATAATAATATAAACTCATTCATTGACAAATTAAAAGTAATAATTTCAATTAGTATAAAAGACGTAGATCTAAACAAAATCTTCTGGCTAATGATCAAAAGAGCTTATAAAATCTTAAAGATAATTTTCATTCTAGTAAAAACTAAAAGAATCAATTTCTAAGCAAGTAACTTTTGTGTGCGACTGACCACACTGTGTGGCCAAGCTAAAACATACCAAGTAACCCTTAACCGACAAATAAGCTATATAAAACACACAATTAGGCTATATAAAAAGTTGAATAAATAAATGTAAATAGATTGGGAAATAAAAACATACGTTTACAAACAAATGGCCTTGGAGAAACAGGCTCGGTTAAGGTGGATGACGACGAAGGAGATGGTTCACTTTTCTTGTTGCTGTGATGATCAATGGTGCTGCAAAAACCCCCTGGTTTCTCCAAGAAATTGAACCCCTAGCACAAACAACGAACAACACGTACAATAATTTTATTTCCATCAATATAACAATATTTATACATGCATGATGCATGCATCTTAGGCTAATTGTGCAATTAATTTCAACTTGGAGTTAATATTAGTTTACAAATCAAAGTTTGTATGTCAATTTTCATAAATCATGAACAAAGATATATAAATTATAACTGAACTACAAAGTAATTATCTAGATAGATTGATTAACATTAAGGGTGAAAAAAAAAAAAAAAAAATTATTACCTGAAGGGTGATTTGGTGGTCAAGACATTGCCCTTGGAGAGGAGGCCTAGTGCTCAGAAAAGATACATTACTACAATGCCCACATTTCACTGTTATCGTGTCCAACAACCTCTTGCATGGAATCACAACCTACACTCGAAAATTATAATAACACTTTAGTTAAATAATGTATATGTAACAAAGCATCTTCCGTCCAACTTTAGTTGTCACGTTACTTGTACAGTCAATGTGATAAAATTCATGTCCGACAAAGTAAGCATCAATTATATATGGTACTATTGTCTAACTAATAACATGAGAAAGTCTTTGACTCGTTTAAAACATACATATTCTTTTCATACATGATAATAATCATTAAGTAGCTAGGTAGTTAATTAAATACTAAGCTAAATGAAACGACGTAGAAAATATGAATGGTGAGGGTTAGTCATATACAGGGGTGGTTCTGAGCATGTGCAGGGTGGTCGACCGCACAGGGCCCCTAAGTGAAACTACTATAAAAGGGCCCGACTTTTTAATTTAGTAACATACTTTTCCTTAAAAAATTGATTTTAGGTCATAATTCAACAAAATTGCACCGGGCCACTTTCAGTGTTAGCATTTATAGCCCCGCCTCTGGTCATATATATATATATATACCGCGAGGACAGTGTTGCAAAAGTTGCACCGAACATAGCAAAGATGTTCCGGAGGTGGTGGAGCCAACTCCGAGCCCACTTTGTCTTCCATCGTGTTGGTGTTCATCGTATCGTAGAAGAAGAATGATCGAAGCTAGCTAATTAAACAAGAGAGGATAAGAGATAGATAATGTTGGTGATTGAGAATGAAAGGGAAGAAATAGTTAAAAAGATGATAGGGTAGAGATAAAAGGAAATGTGTTTAGGTTTTAAGGTATACATATAGTAGAGGGGGAAAGCTATATATAGTTGCCTAAATGTCTATGGTGTTGGATATCGTAAAAAGTGATTTTTAGGGTTTCTAATTTGGTTATTCTTTTTGTGCTCATTTTTGCAAATTGTGAGTTTTTTAACGTACAACTATGCAACTAATGCAAGGCTTTGTATTATGATAAGCTAGCTCGATCATTTATTAGATGATTCGTTTGTTTGTTTTTTTCACAATTTATGCATTAAGTTATTCTAATGGTCTTTTGTGATTTATATGTAAGGTAAATTATTGTCATTTGTGATCTTGTTAAATTTGTCTTAATGTGTACTTTATTTATATATAATTATATATTTCTTACATACGAATGCAAAATTAGTGATAAATGGTTAAAGATATGTATTGGCATGTGTGCTTAATTAAATGATACAAGTTGTGTGTGTATAAGAACATACATGTATGAATTGTTTATAAATTAGAATACAAACCAACTTAAAAGACAGTATGAATTTATATTTGAACCAATTGTATCATACAAGTTATATAACCATGCATGCCTGCCTATATCTTTCTTATAGCTCCGCATGAGCAAAAAATGAGTAATGGTGTGCCTGTGCATGGTGCAACCGATTATACGACATTCGACACATACTCGTCGACTAAGTGACTAAGTTGGTTAATTAGATCACAATCACCTATTGTTAAAGGCTTGTAATTACCCATTTTTCTACATAGTATGCACGTTGTATTGCATGGTATGGTGAAAGCAGGTCATGAATTCATGACCTAATGTTAGTTTTAAGAAGGAGGGCACATTATCATTATAATTAAGTAATTATCAAAGGTTATTTATGATTTGAATGTACATACTTTTACTTGGAGTAGGGTAGTTGAACATCATTGTTTGTAACAGGAAAGTGATAAATTCTCAAAATTTCCATGTACAAAGGACTCCCTTTTGAGAATGGTTGTTGATAAGTAAAATTCATATTACATGTCAAAATAAATAAATAAAATTATTATATACTTTCTCCGCTTCAAATCCTTCAATACATATATAAACCCTAATAATAATGATCCTCTAGGATTTGTATGAGTTAGAATTTAAAAATTGCCCTCATAATCTCATATGTTTGACTTGAGTAGGGTGGTGATTATTTATGTTCACCTTATGCTATTCAAAATACTTGCCCAAGGGTTTACAAAGTAATCATAATTCATTCTCATAAACAACTGGAGTACAATTTTTTTTGTAGTTGTAGCTCAAAGAAATGTTTAATGTTCTATTAATTAAGGCAATGAAAGAATTACAATAATATAAAACTACTCTAAATCACATAGTAGACACAATAGATAACGGTACTATGATTTTTACATATTGAATTTATTGGTTGTTTTTTTTTTTTTTTTTGTGTGTGTGGAGAGAGTTACTAATAACAGTGATATAGACAAGATATATATGATTTCAAGTTTTGGATAACACGTTTAAGACTTTAGCCAAACTTAATTGATTTATGTGATAAGACTATTGTCATTACAGACTAGCTTTAAATAAAAATTTTTGCCACTTCAAAATCATAGTCAAAATAAAATTGACCAAGATGCGGGGATGTGTATAAATATTGAGGAAGTTATGGAGTAGCAATATCAATTCGTTCACGTACACGTGAAGGTGGCATCAAAAGACTAGTCCAAACTAAGAGCAACTCCTTTGCAACTTTGTAACAAAAGTGTGATCAATTTCCTAAATTATGTATCTATAAAATTTGAATTTCTTAGATTAGAAATTCACTTCACTTTTTTAGTGTTTAATTAGAATAGGGCAAAGTAAGAAAGAGGGTGAGGAAAAGACAGAAAATCTAATTGATGTTGTTAGTGAGTACTGAGTAGTACCATGTTAAGAAAAAACAAAAGCATTGATTTAGACAAGTGCTGAAATCACTAGTCACCATCACTAATGAATTTGGGAAGAGCTGTTTGAAATGAGACGATTCAACTCCTAGATTACCAAATTGGAGATTTAGCCTACTTTTGCACTTTGATTTCCCAAACTTTCCTTGTTTGTATAAAATCTTACCATTAATATGAGAGGTTTGTTAGGTAATTCTACTTGTATGTAGTTGAGACTTGAGAGATAACACATTGGAACTATATTGGAGTATATAAGGAAAAATAAATAAATACTTGGCGTGCATGTTTGGCAAAATTAGCGATAAGTTGATAAGTGATTTTATGTATTCATTCATGAAAAAAAAAGAGCTACCGGCCAACTATTGTCAATTCCAAATGCTTATAATTAATGTTAAGGATTTAAAGCTATAATTGTGTAATTAAATTTTTGAAGAAACGGTACATAACGTATTTTACAATAAAAGTTACTCGAATTTCAATGATTGTTGTCCATAGTAGTTGTTAATTTAGTAGAATCATTTTAAATCTCTAATGTACTTTTTAGTAGGTCAAAACAATGATAATTTTTTTTTAAATAATAGCATATTAATTATCATTCTTATTTGATTTTCAAAAGCACAATATATCAATATATGAACATTCTACAATATGATGGTTTTATAATGTTCTTTTTCTTTTCTTTTTTTTTTTTAATTTTTTTTATCTAATTTCATCATCAATTATTTGATCCAACACAATCAACCAAATTGAATTATATAGTAATTTACTTGGATAACAATGACTTGATGATGAATAATAATCCAATAATATTTCAATAATAGTAATTTACTAAATTTTTATGATTATATGGAGTATTAAAGAAAAAAAAAACGTTCACTAAATAATCTTTAATAAAACCGTAACATGGAACTGGATAGCTAACTCGGATCAATTAGATGAATTGAAACATATATGCTAGCTTGTTATAACAAAGTTCTTAATGTAATCTATTTTTCCCCTAGAGGAAACAGCATCTTTGCAACAGATGATATGAACACTTTTATGCAGTTGCTTTATAGACGAGGTACGATATTAACGAAATTGGTACTAATGATTAGATCTACGATTAAACTTGACTTTGCACATTTTCATTCTATTTTTAGAAATTTCTGAATTATTGATAAGACCTTTCTTGATCTATCTCACTTTCTTTATTATCTTTATCTGAGTAAAAGCAAATATAGGACATAAAATAGTAGCAGCACATTGAGGATGGAGTACAGTAGCAGTGAACATGACCAATTCAACTTTTATATATGTTCCAATCTTGATGCAAATTTAATTCTCTTTTAAGTCATCTTTAAAGTGAACATATGTAGATGCTAGCTATCTTAAATATTTTAAAAAAATTCAGAGATGTAAGGTGAGTGCAAAGTTTAAACCAAGTTATTTAAACTATTTTTTTTTCTTTTTTAAAAAAAGGAATCATTGACGCAAACGGTCCCAATTATGGTCTGTCTTCTTTAAAAAATTTCAACTATTGATTAATTCAAGGTAGTCCAAATTTTGGGGGTCCTCAAAACGGTCTCTAACATAATTTCAACTGCTTTGACTAGTTAATAGTGTCACACTGTCACGTGTCTTGTGTTTCATTAAGGCCGGACATGTTCACTTCAGCCTAATTTCAATTCAATTCAGCTACTAATATCCTTCTCTCATAGAATATTCATTTCATTTTAATTTGGTTCAATTCAGTAAATATGAACAAACCCTAAGTACGTGTATTTTTTATAAAATAAAAATAAAAAATCCTCTACCACTCTAAAAACCCATCCCCTCCCTTTAATATATCTTTCTCTTTTCACTTTCAAATTTATGTATCAATTTCAATTTATTTTTATTGTACGTGAGATTCAATACTTACATGAGTAATTTGAGGTGCAAATCGCTATTTTTTTAATCCCTCTTAGGACATGTTCTTATTTACTGAACTGAACTAAGCTAAACAAAATAGAGCTGAAATTAATATTTAATGAGAGAAAGAAATTAGGAGCTGAATTGAACTGAATTGGAGCTGAACTGAACTGAAATTAAGCTGAAGTCGACATGTCTTTATTCATTGATTATTATGCTTGATTTGTAAAATGATCCAATACGAGTATTTTTTTTGCTAATTTGTTGAGATTGGGCATATTTTTTTTTCTTCTCATTTGTAGAAAATGAGAGAAAGTCCGAATTCTTGTTTATGTTTATTCTTTATTCCAATTGTGGACCATGCATAGATAAAAAAAAATATGTTTCTATATCATCTCACTAACAATAATACAAAGTATTAATTTCAAAATTTCAATCAAGATAAAGTTTTTTAATTTCCAAACAAACATTAATTCAGGGCCGTAGCAAGGGGAGGGCAGTTGGGGCGGCTGCCTGGGCCCCTTGTTAAAAAGCCCAGCTTCAATACAATACAAGGCCCCCAAAAAAATACTACCTTCGTTTCATATTTTTTTGCAACTTTGTAATATTTTTTATCACAACCAAAGTTGCAAAAAATATAAACCGGAGGTAGTACTAAATAGTATTACTTATATATACATTTGAAAAAAAAAAAAAAAAGAAAGAAAGCAACAAGTGTGTATTGTACAACACTACAATAGTAGTGTAGAGTTCCAAAATATCAAATGGTATATTTGGTCAACGTTATTTCTTCCCTAATTTTTTTGCCCAAATTATTCACTTTCCTAAGTGATTTAATTAACAAAAACAAAAGTCATTACTTTTAATTGTACCCCCGTTTTTGGTAATTTTATTTTTCAAAATGTATCTCATTACCATTTTCAGTTAGTTAAATTTCTTCTCTTTCACGATTCAATTGAAGATGAAAACTATAATAAACGGTCCTTTTACTCTTCAATTTTCAACGGAAATTTATCTAATTATATATAATTCTTCTTGCATACCCTACTTTTTTTTTGAACGGTGCATACATGACTTTATTCATCAAGATCTCTTCTTTGTATTAAATTATATTTTTCTTAACCTGTATAACTACTTTCATTCAAATATTACAAAATTTGAGGAAAAAAAATCTAATTGATTGGTTGAATACTTAGTTTGAATGGTTCGGCTGGTGTAATTACTTCAACGAGAGTTACGGGAATGTAATATCAATGTTTTATGAAATTTGATGTTTTTAAAGATTATTAACCATATTAAATTATGCATTTTCATTTTGCATACCATATTTTTTAAAATTTTATATAGTATACGTGAATTAGGGCCCCGATTTAAGTTTTTGCCCCAGGCCACCGAAATCTCAGAAACGGGCCTGCATTAATTGTACTCCCTCCGTCCCTAAATTACATTCCTGATTTCTATTTTGGGTATTCCAAAATTACATTCCTCCTTTCCATTTTTAGTATGTTTTTTTTCCCAAATATCTCAAATCAACTCTCTTTTTCTGTTGTATATTTGATGTTTTCTTACTCTTACTATCCTAATCTCACTCTTATTTATTTTCTCTCTCCACCGTTTTTCTCAAGTTTGTACTTCCCATAACTAACCTGATGAATATGATTGATTCTTAATTTTCAATTAGAACCATGTTATTGGTCCTTTTTTTTTTGCAAAGGATTGATGACATGACATCATTAATCATTAATCTATCTTTGTTTTACTCAAAGACATCATTTAGTGTTTTGTATTTTCCATTAAAATATTTCATTATTGTTATGTGTCTTATTCTTTCCTCTTTAATTCCCGTGTAGTTTTACAAGCAGGAATGTAATTTAGTGACGGAGGGAGTTGTTTTTTACTCCTTTAAACAAAAATGAACAAAGCTATATGCCTCTTTCACTAACTTTAACAAACTTACAAGTTTTGGTCTAAATCAATTGAGCAAATTTTATAGCCGGTTGTATCTTAACAAAGTACAACCAATTGTATAGTGTATGGGCCAAATAAAAGTGAGTTTCATTTAATTTGAATTTTAAAAAAAAATAAAAAAAATGGGCTTGCACCTTGAACTGAGGATGATGTTGTCATTTAAGGGTTATTTTTATCATTCATATTTGGCGGGAAAGCAAAAGTGCTAACCAAAGCTGGAAGAGCAATCCTAATTCAATCCACTCTATAATCCATCCCTACATATTTCATGCAAGTGCTTCCTTTTCCTCAATACATTTGTAAAAAACCTGGACTCTATTTGCTCAAACTTTTTCTGGGGAGGTTTGGGGGAGGGAAAGAAACTCACATGGATCTCTTGGGATAACCTTTGTAAGTCCAAGGATGAGGGGGGACTAGGGTTCACTAAACATGAACACATAAACACCATCTCGCTCCCAAAGCTTTGTTGGTCCCTCTACAATAACAAAGGGTGGGCTTCCAAACTCCTGAAAGAAAAGTACATTGACAGAAAGAGAGTCCCAACTCCTTTCAGCAAGGGCTCTCTGAGTCTCTAGTGTGGAAGGGCATAGGTAGGGCATGGGATCACTTTGAGAAAAGCCTTGTATGGAAGTGAGGGATGGTAAGTCCATTAATGTGTGGCAAGACAGATGGTTGCTAAACAATTTTTTTAGAGATTTCTTATTTGGTCCCATTCACTTTGAAAATAGAAGATTGATGTCTTTCAATGCCTTTCTCAAATCCATCCCAAACAACTTCTGGATCGGAATCTTTGCTCTCCTTTCAAATTTGTGATTCCCTTTTCCAACTCTTGCAATCAGTGTCTCTGAACAACACTGAAGACAGTGCTTACTCTTCCTGGACTTACAAAAACAAATTTGACTCTTCTCAAGCCAGATTAGCACTTCTGAATCAAAACTCAGAGGTGGATGCAGGTTTCAATTGGGACTGCATCTGGAAACTAAATACTCACCCAAAGATTAAGGTTTTCTTATGGCAGCTCATTTGGGATAGACTCCCTATTGGATGCAATCTCCATCACGGAATCACTCACATTCAATCTTAATGTCCTTTTTGCCCATTCCATATTGAATCTGCTGATCACATTTTCTACCATTGGTCAAGAGCAAGTGAAATTTGGAATTCAATCCCTCCTCCTTTTCCTTTCAATCCTATGTCTTCTTGGAAAATTTGGCTTCTCAACAATCTCAAACACTCAGATCAGCTCTCTAACTCCGTTCCTTGGAATACTTTGTTCTCCTTCACCCCGTGGCATATTTAATTTGGCTAAGAAGGAACTCATGGATTTTCACAAAAAATAAAAAAATATACCTCTCTAAAAATCTGTCCACCAGCTGTGCATATGGGCTGCTTCTGAATGCTTCTTTTCTAGCAAAATTTCAGAAAGTTTAAAGCCCCATCTCAGTGCCTGGTCTCCTCCCTCTCATCCTTTCATCAAAGTAAACTGTGATGCTTCTTATAGCCAGGTTTCCAGAGAAGTTGGTGTGGGTGCTGTTTGTAGAGATAATCTAGGATCTTGGATTGAGGGTTTTAAGTGGAAGGGTTATTCATCCTCCACTCACCAGGCTGAGCTAAAAGCACTTGAACTTAGCCTGATTTGGATAAAAGAAAAAGATTGGCAACATGTAATTCTCTGCTCAGACTCAAAGAGAACAGTTGAGGAGATAAAAGCAGAAACGACAGTTGAAAACATTCCTAACTCAATTCTAAAATGCAGGGACCTGCTAAGGGAGCTGCTCCATCTGGAATTTCTCTTTGAGGACAGTGGAAGGAATGTTGTAGCTGACTGTATTGCGAAAGATGCTAGATGTAACACGGAGATTATGCAGCAAATTAGCCTTTTGTACCTTCCTCCTCCATGTTGTAATGTAGCTTTTGAGAGTGAACTATGCCCAAGCTCTGTAAACTATAATTCTAACTCTGCTGGTGATGTCCCAGCCTATGCTTTTGGTCATGTAACAAATATTGATACTTTGATTTAATCTATGCATCTTTCCCTAAAAAAAAATGTAATGATGATGATGGTTGGTAGGTGGTCGTGGGTAATTGTCAGTGGTTAGTGGCGGTGGTGGTTGCCAATGGAGTTGTGATTGAAGCCGACATTAGGTGGTGACGGGTGCATGAGGCGATGAAGAGGAAGACATATACTAAGGGAGTAAGGGCCTGTTCTCTTCAGCTTTATTTCACTTCAGTTCAATTCAATTTAGCTTATATCAGTTCAGTTCATAATTTCCTTCTCTCATAAACATTTTATTTCAATTCAGTTTAGGTCCAATCAGTTTAGTTTAATTTAGTTCAACTCAGCTCAGTTTAGTAAATCAAAACAGACCCTAAGGATAAATAATTAACTTCGCCCTTAAACTATTGGCATTTTAGAGTAAACATGAACATAAAATAATTTTCACTTTATGTTTGAAAATATCTCAATTTAACCGATATAATTATCAATACAGAAATTTAACATATAAGGAAAAATTAACAATCTATTAGTATGGCTTATAAAAAATTATACCCGAAAACTATCTTGAAATAATTCGAACAAGTAAATATAATTTTGTACGTAAATAATGCAAAAGTTAAATCGAAGCACTTTTAAAACTTGGAGGGTTGGAGGGAGTAAACACAACTACACAACGCATGAACATTTGGGAGGGAAGAACATTTGGGATTCCCGCCATCAGAAAACCCCCAGCTTTCAAGGTTACTCATCTCTTTGCTCAACTCAATCCTTCCCCAAAAAATCTCCATTTTTCTGTCTCCTCTTTCTTCTTCAAGCTTTTGAGTTTAAAGCTGAATGCAACATCAATGGTGAAATCCGACTACGATTCAAAGTCAGATGGCCTCGAAATCCTCTCCATTGGAGCTCTATACACCGGACCTTGGGATAAGAAGTACTGGAGTTCCTCTAGGGTTTGTTCTTCTCTCTATCTTCTTCCTCAATAATTTAGCGATGTTTATAAATTTGAAGATAATTTACTTCAATTGAATGCAATTTTGAGTTTGTCGAATTGAATTTTTCTACTGGCGGAGTGAATTTGGAAAATTTCTGCTTATTTTATTCAAATTTGGATATTGGCGAGTAAAATAATCGGAATTTTGATTAGTTTATTTGGTTTGATTGAGTTTTTGAATCATTTTTGCGTCTCTAGCAAAATATTAGGTGTTGCGATTGAGTTGTTCCATATGCTTTGATTACATTGACACATTGTGAATCATGTGAAGAAAATGAGCCTGATTTGGTAGCTTAATTGTGCAATTTCGGGCTTTCGGCGGTTTGCTGACGAGTCTGTTATTGCTGAACATAGGTGCAAAGTCTTAAAAGCCGTGGAGGTGATTGACATATTTGGTATATTATTAATTGGTAGAAAACTTGAAATTGATAGAACTTTTATTTCGAATTTTATATAGGAACCTCTGGTAATGAACGTGAGTTGATCAGTAGTTTTAGATTATAGCATGAGATAACCTTCTTTTTGAAGCATTTGAGTAGGTGCTGTAGCTAGCAGATTATGCTCCGTTTGGATTGGCTCCACGAAAAGGCCATTGAATGTTTCCTTATTGGTCGCGGCCTGGCTTTTTAGTTGATCATAGGATTTGTTAAGTGCTTTGGATAGTGTTGAACTTTATAGATATGGTGTAAGACTGTAAGTAAAGTGTTAGGGACTTGGGGCTTATTTGAATGTCATTACACTTTACTAACCTTGTAATTTGTAACTCTATAAAGGTGGAAGCCTCATGAATTGGATAAGTGTAATTGAATGGTAATGATCTTGTGCAACTCTATTTTTTCTGTATTGGCAAACTGGATGTGTACTTTTTGTGTGCTTGTCAATACTAGTAAGTAGTAGGCTGTAAAGATGTAATAAATGTACCTTAAAAGTTCATTCATTGGCATTGTTCGTTGAGAGATCAATGCATTTAGAGAATGGCTCTTTATTGGTGTTCGGGTTAAATAATATTTTTGTGGTCAATTACATTACATTTGTGAATGAATTCCATACTTTTTGTCAGCTCTTATTCACAAAATAGATTCTCCATTTGTAGGGAAAAGACCGATATCCTTACCCAATTGGCTACCAAGCCCTTAGAACCCACAATGGGCTCACTTATAAGATGGAAATTCATGAGGGTTCAAAAGGGCCCATATTTCAGGTAAGTTACTGCACTTTTTGATTCAAATCTCAATATAGTGAAATTGAGGATTTGAGCTCTTTTATGTTCCTTTCATTGGCAGATTACCTCCAATGACAAGCAATTTGGTTCTGGAGAAACACCAGACAGAGCATGGGAGAACTTTCAGAAGAAATGCTTGACTCGTATCAAGCTTTGGCATGGGAAGAGATCTTCTGGCAAAATTGATGGCGTGGAGGTAAATCTGTTTTTTTAATGTCAAATGTAGTAATTGCTCTGTCCCTAGCGGCTTATGCACATATTAAAAGGATCCGTATCTCTAACCTGTGTTGTGTCCTGAGCTTGAAATTGGTCAAAATAGATCATACATCTAAGACTACATTTATTTCTTGTAAATAATGGAAGTTGTATAGACATTCGCATCCCAATGGGACTTGCCTTTGCTTGTTGCATGTTTGATGGAGCAAAGAATAGCTAACTAAGACATATTTCCATCTTATAAGTTAAATCATAGGTTGCAGGTATTCATGTACCTTAGTTGGAATATTGTGACCCATACGGAGTGAGATAAGCTTTTTCTCAGATGCACTTGCATATATTTTTAGGTATCACTTTTTGAAGCAAGAAACCAGATTGAATCATAAAGTCTATGTGTATCGTGTTGTGTGCTTCCATTCTTCAGGATTTTTGTGGGGATTATGTGAAATATTAGAATGGCATTAAGGTTGAACTACACTATGCTCTATGTGGGCCTTGGGGTCGCATTGTAAGTGACTTTAAAGTGGCTCATTACAAGGATAGAAAGAGCAAATGTGCCTAGGATAAGAAACGATAGTAAAAATTTGGGACCTTTTCTGTGAGATTCCCTAGATAGCTGAATTTTTGCCTTGGTGAATGGGCTTGGTTAAAACCATATTAGGTTTAGCCTCATTAGGCGTTAGTTGGGCTCTCAACCTATCTCATCTTGGAGGAGTGGATTGTGAATATGGTGATATTGTAACTAAAAATTTGTAGAACTTGGATGATTTGATTCAAAAAAGAGAATGGGCCGTGATAGTGTGATATGATAGATGAAAATGATATGGGTAAAGGTGACATAGGATAAGTAGGCAAAAGTTCTCCTAAATTGCTCTTTGGAGTGTTTTCTTTTGAAAATTTGAGGTTGAACATTTGCAGAATATTGGAGTAAGGTCATCTTGTGCATTTGGAATTTATCTGTAGAACCAGGTGGGTTAGGTTTTATTCACAGGAGTGTGAGATCAAGAACATCTCTTAGTTGTGATTTTGTTGATTTTTGGCACATCTATGTCTGTCAGAGCTAAGGAGAACGGTTAGGACCTTGGAATGCTTCAGCTGGGCAGCTACAAAATTTTCTTTGGTCATGCATAATATACAAGGAGAAAAATAAGCAACTTAGAGGGGAGTCTCGGAGAAGGGACTCAGTTTACTTTTCCTAAGTTTATTAATATGTGCCTCCAACATACTGCCTTAAGTATCAGAATTTCTGCTAAAAGATGGGTCGACACTTTCTTGGAATTTTGCAATTTTCCCTTAAGTATTTTACTTGATGGAATGGGTTTTAAAATTCCTTAAGATTTACTCTAAATCACACCGGCCATATCAAAGAATGTGATTAGGAGATTCTTCTGTACTGTTTCTAGCAGCTTTTCTGCAAACGCATATTAGTCCAAATTATTATTATTATTATTATTATTATTTTTTTTTTTTTTGGTAATTTAACAGGTAAGATTTTCTAGGTGCCTAGGGATTCATCTGCAAAACTATCTCGAACTTTTCCATCTGAGGTTTGGTGATTATACATCTTGCTTATTAAAGCAGAATTGGAAAGATGCATATCCTAGTTCAATTATTATTGAGCTTAAATTTTGAAATTTTTGTTACTTGAAACATGAAGTACATCGAATGAACACGTTAGAAGCAGAAAGGAAAGACACTTTTAAGTAAATAATCATATATTATTTCATATTCGAAAATTTTATTACTTTTTAGAAGTCTTAGCCTTCTGATATTATGTCAGGAACTATAACCGTGAAAAATCCTGCGAATATTTCCCTTTTGCAATGCGTTAGTACATTGTTTGGTATGGCACTTCTGCATGCTCTGACAATTTTGTTTCACTGTCTATGTACATTATACAGTTTTTTGGATTTAAAAATGCATTGGTCCAGAGATTACTCCGGGAGCTTGTAGCCACTGTTAATGATGCCTCTGATCGGAGTTCAGTTTTTACCAACTGTAATGAAGCTTCTCCAAAAGTTCATGACGCTGAGTGCCTCATGACACAGAAATACCCTGATCTGAGGTCATGTCTTGAGAAAACTACTGTAACTGGTAAGAGAAGCAGAACCTCTAGAGGAACAGATACAAAGTTAGCTTGTAAAAGTGGTCATGAAAGACGGCAACCTCCACATCTAGGAATTGATACCAAGGCTCTATATTCTTCATCTGGGAAGATGGACATTGACGAACCCCTAATTTCCTGTGCTCTGAGTGATCACCATGATAAAGGGGCTTTGCAAGTAACATCAAACATGGAGCTTGGAGATAATACTTTGTTGTCAGCTCATGGGCTACCTGTAAATTCTCATGAAGTTCCTGGTGATCCAAAAACTGAATCTTGTTTAATCCAAGTGCAGAGTGAGCCTCCTCTCATGGAAACATGCGTAGCAGCATCGTCACTTGGTGTAGACATGCCACAAGATGAGAAATCTGTAAGCGACTGTAGTCTCTTTTAACCCCTATACTGAAAATTTGTAATTATTTTTTATTAATTAATCTCTTTTATATGCTTTTTGTTATCTCTTCCCATAGACATAAAAGTAACCTAACTTTATACAATGATAGCAGTAGAGTCTATATACTTGGAATTCTTCAGCAAACTTTCATGACATATATCTAGCTCTTATTGCTTACTTAACAAGAGAAGATTCTTAATGTTTCACAGCTTGACAGACAATGTATTGAAATCCAAGCAGTTGGTTTACCTGTGGCAACTCAAGAAGGGAGTCAGAAGGTTCAAGTTATACCTGACTTGTTAAAGCCAAGGTCTCCACTTCTGAGGGATTCCCAGGTCAGTCATGCTGGTGATCTATTTGCGCCTGACTCCTCGGATACGCAGCAAGGTACTGATAGTTTATCAAGCTTGTCCACTGAATTAGATAAAGATTTCATTTCTTTTAAAACAAGCTTAATCCACCTGGGTGGGACAGTTTATGTGTGTTACAATACCGATTTGCACATTCTAAAGTTATGATTAGGTATTGACTATGATCACAAAGGACCCTATTCCAATTGGTTGGTACAAGGACCTTGGGGGAAAAAAGTGTTGAAACATCTAAATTCTGTTTGTTTTATTTTTAATTTTTTGTTTTAATTTTAGATATTTCACTTGGTGACACAATTGGTTTCTATGCAGAAATTGCCTGTGCTCCAAATTCTGGCAGTTATAGTGGAGAGCAGGCCATAGCAAAAATTGAACCAGTTGGTGAGATGGCGTTTTCCGAGGAGGCCATAATGGGATCACATTCAGAGGAAGGAAGCTACTTGAATGGAAATTCTGAAAAAAGTGATTTTGATTCTGTTGATGAAGATATAGCTAAGTCAATGATGGCACTTTTAGTTCCGCTAGCAGTTCCACTTCTTACATATTCATCACGTAAAAGGAGAAAAACTAAGCGCCATAAAAATTTACCATCTGCTGTTGTCAAATCTTCTGGTATAATTCAGTACGTAAATTGCTTGTTGTTATATCTGATTTTGGACATCTGTTGGATGAATTTGAATGGTTGGCTGGACCTGATGTATTTTTTTATTTTTATTTTTAATTTCGGGCAAGTGATGATGACCTGGTTGATTTTGCAGGTGGAAAAGTTGCTTGTTCTGGTTCAAATGGACAAACAAAAGCGCATCTTTCGAGTGCAATTGGTTCTGGACTATCTATGATGGAAAACCTCAAAGATGTTGTTCAAGACAGTGTAGAAAATGACCGGTATGAAGATCATGTAGCCAATGAGCTACCAACTGCCGATAATGCACAAGCAGTTGATGCCCATTTGCAGAAGGAGAAGCAAGAACCTGATAAAAGAGGGTCGTCTCCTGCACTTGATGTACCTGATTTTTCCGCTCATCAAAAAGAGATCACTGGAATCAAAGAAAATCTCAGATATGTTCCGGACAGTGTAGAAGATGATCAGTATGAAGATCGTTTAGCCAATGAGTCACCACCTTCTGATGATGCTCAAATAGTTGCTGCACCACCTTCCAATAATGCTCAATGTGTTGCTGCCCCACCTTCTGATAATGCTCAAGCAGTTGCTGCCCATTTGCAGAAGGAGAAGCAAGAACCTGATAAAAGAGGGTCATCACCCGTACTTCATGCAACTGATTTTTCCTCTCATCAAAATGAGATCACTGGATCCAAAGAAAATTTCAGAAATATTGTTCCAGACAGTGTAGAAAATGACCAATATGAAGATCATGTAGCCAAGGAGCTACCGCCTTCCGATAATGCTGAAGCAGTAGCTGTCCATTTGCAGGAGGAGAAGCAAGAGCCTGATAAAAGAGGGTCATCTCCTGTATTTGATGCAACCAATTTTTCCTCTCTTCATTATGGGATCACTGATTTCAAAGAAAACCTCAGATATGTTGTTCCGGACAGTTTAGAAAATGACCTGTACGAAGACCATGAAGCCAATGAGCTACAACCTTCCAATAATGCTGAAGTAGTTGCTGCCCATTTGCAGAAGGAGAAGCAGGAACCTGATAAAAGAGGGTCAACTCTTGTACTTGATGCAAACAAGTTGTCCTCCCGTCAAAATGAGAACTCTAAATTCAAAGAAATTTTCTTTCATGATGAATTGCAGAAAATAAATGTCGGAATGTCTCAGAATGATTGTGCTTTTGCTCTTCAGTCTGCTGTGCCCTGCCAATTGTCTGTTCCCCTGGATTGTGTTGCTACATGTTCCACACCAGACGATCAGTGCAAAAATGCAGATAAGAATTCAAAATCCATTGAGAATTGCTCCAAGTACACAGATCTGGAGATTATGCCTGATTGCAAAGGTAAATGACTTTTCCCTCCAACCCTTTCCTCTCTTTTTGAAAATTCAAACAGCCTTCCTGTCTTTTTGAAAAGGCAAGCCATTATACTCTTCATAATTCCAAGATATTCAGTGCTCTATGGCTAAAATTTTTATTTATAAACAGCTACTGAAATGATACGCTTAGTTAATTACTTTTGGTGCAATAAAGGAAGTCAAAGTCAAACTCCACTCTTGCAAATTGAACACTCTTTAATTTTCATACAAAAATTTATACTGATTGAGTAGCTACAAACATTGATAACATTAAACATGATTTTACAGGGCCCAGGTTTATTTCTGTACCTGAAAAGCAACAATGTTCCCCTGAAAATATACACCCAAAAATGGATAAATATGGAGCGACTCTGTCAGAGAGCATAATTTGCAGGGACATTTGGGACAAATGTGTTCCTGAAATAAATCAAAATTCTGGAAACTCGGTATCTACCAATTCTTGCCAAGATAGTGCATTCGGTGATAGTGACAGTAGCAAAGCTTTATTCAGTAGAAGTAGGATTGGAGGACATATTTCTAATTTGCAGAATGGTGATATGGAAGATGCTTTGGCTCAAGATTGTGTCTTGCAAGACCAAGCATTGCGTTTTACCTTCAGTAAGAATGATGTACAATTAACTGACGGGGGCAATTTCCACGTGAGAAAATCTGAGGCATACATTGACAAGGATAGGATTGGAAATCAACATTCTGATTCTGTATACCAGTTATCAGACCAGGGAAAAGGTTTTTCTCCGAATTGTGCATCCCATATCCAGGTAGATGAAGCTGAAATCAATCCCAGTTGTCTGAACAAACAGGATTTCAATGATCAGATAGGTGGCAGTACGAAGCTTATTGGTTGTTATTCTCATCCAATGCGTATTTCATCGGTAATGTTGACAAGAACACCCCAGGAAATCTACATTTGTGTTTCATGTGGTCTTCTGGAAGAAAAGAGAAGGGACTTGTTTCTGTACAAGCTATCTACTGTGGAACCTAGTTCGGGGAGCCCTTTTATGGTTGGTCATACGTCTATGAGCTTACCTTCCCTAAAAGATGAATTTGGTAGAGAAGTAAGTAAACAAACATGCACAAGCCCTTTTATTTTTCTACTTGTATCAGCTAGCAGGCTGAGTTCCCGATTTCTTTTATCATCTTTATTAGGTTGCAGTCGATAAATTTGGGTTACAGTTCACGCCAGACGCTAGTAGCCTAGTTATAGCAGACTCCATCAGGGTGCCTTACTGCAGGTTTTAACCCATACACATATATTTTTTTTTTTTTTTTTTTTTTTTTTTCTGAAGAGCTGTGATGAAATACTAACGTAATCCAAATTGCATTTGTCCAGGGAGAAAAATCTTCACTGTTTGTGTCCGCAATGTGAAACTAGCTGCTTCGAGGAGAATGCTGTAAAGATTGTACAAATCAAACTTGGCTACGTCTCCCTTGTGGTGAAGCTGAAAACAATTTTTTCTGTTCATTGCTTAATAGTTTGTGAACCTGATCGTCTGATCGCCGTGGATGAGAGTGGAAGAATCTACATATGGATTATGAATTCAACCTGGAGGTGATTTCCTGTCATCTCCCTTATCCTGCTTGAATATCATTAAATCTAGGATTCATATTTTCGGATTCTTTTAGAGAACTACTTCACTCAAGTCTAACTCACTGAGATGAAGGAATTTATATCATTATATGCATTTGTTGTTAGGCTCGAACCTGATCTTAGTTTGAGATTGATCCTAGCTGGATTACTCATTTATCTGTTTATCTGCAATCAAACTTTTTTCCCGTATTTAAATGATTGTAGTTTTACTTTCAAGATTAAAAAATACTTTCAGATCTACCCTAAATTACTACTCCCTCTGTCAAATTTAATGCTGTGTTTTGACGGAGAGATTTGAGAGGAATAAAGGGGCAGGCGATTTGCTTATTAGAGGTGTCTAATTTAATCTTATAGAGAGAGGCAAACTAATAAGAGAAAGTGTTGGACTTATGAGAGACAAAGGGTTGATGTGATGCAGAGATAAAAGGTTGTAAGCAAAAGTGGGGTCCACATCAGGTGGTATATTTTTGAACCATTTCCAGTTGTAGGATGATCATTTTGGAACATACCAAAATAGATGTCTCATTTGCTATTAAACAGCAAATTGCTTCTTGGCTTGAACTCTGGATTATGAATGCAACTTAATTTTGCAATTAGTTGCAAAATTAAGCTAAGCTTGTTACCTAAAAACAAGCTTGAAACAGGATTTTGGCTTTTGATCAGTGAGCTACTGTAATATGTTATCAGCTCTGCATAACAAGCTAAAAACAGGAAATTCTAAAGAATAATGTATTTGCGACAGAAATAGGGTAGGATTAAGTTAGTCAAAATAGATTTTTTGTGATATAGCTGGATCTAATATACTTTTGTTGGAGAAATTTATTGCTCTTTCTGATATAATGATATAATAGTGAGCAACGATCCAGTTGAGAAGATTCATATCAAACCTGACACCTAGGAAGAGGGGCTGGTGATGATATTTGATCCAAGGCAACTGAAAATGCCCCCATGTTCATCTTGTATATACCAACTTAAGAAGTAAAAAATTAGCTTGTATGTCGTATCCCAGAAAAGCAAAACCTTTCACCTCTTCCTTACCTCCTATGGCTAGTTAAGGGGATTACCCCCCATATTAGATTTTATGGGGAGGTCGTGCAGCTTCTGTAATATCCATGTCTCCTAGTACATGAGCAGGTGCTGGTGGCAGCTGAGATGCTAGTGCTGTCAAATTGGTGGGTCACATAGTCTGTTACTCTGTTAGGGATGTATTGTCCCACATTGAGGAAGTTACATTGGTTGAATAGGGTTGCAGCCCCTCAGGATTTCTACTGAAGCTCATTTACCTTGTCGGATTAAGTAAATAACCAACAGCCAGCCAGGAGTCTCAATTTAGGTGTCAGCAGGATCAATCTAAAAACAAGAAACGGGCTTTGAACGGAAATATTTTTCTTAAGCTTTTGGTGGAATGCAAATATTTGCTGTATGACTGCTTTTTAATTCAATTATAGCATCCAGTGTTACTATGCCAAGGATGTTTGCAATTTGAACAGTTATGACTTATGAGTCTACACATTGTATTTTTATTCAATCATCGCAACCTCTTTTATTGTAATTGGACAAATTTACTTTTTGTTAGTAATTCCAATCATCTTTAATCACTTGCAGTGAACAGACAGAGGTATATGTTATACCAAGCTATGACTTTCTCCCATCTCGCATTGTAGAGTTGAAGAGAATTCCTAAATCAGCTTCTATGGTGGTTGGGCATAATGGTTACGGAGAATTTAGTCTGTGGTACGCAATAATTTTAATGAACAAGAAATTTTAAAGCTTTATGTGTCAAGAGCGTTTTTAGCCACAAGTTGAAAACATTATTAAGTGCAGAAAAATAATTGCTCATTATGTTTTTGTATTGAATTTTGCAAGGGACATAGTCAAGCGCACTCTTGTATCACAATTTTCTGCTTCAGCAAGTTCAGTTATCGATTTTCTACCAGTAAGTTTGTTTAGATACCCAAGCAAGGGCCTGTCTCATGACAAAGTTGTCATAGAGGAATTTGTAAGGAATCTTAAGGAAGCAACTATGTTGTGGTTCTCAAGGCATGATGTAGCAAATATCTCATGCCCAATGGAAGGTGAAGATACTGCTATCTGGCTTCTTTTATGCACTTCATCAGACACTCGTGCTCAAACTTCTTTTAACTCAAGTAATCACCATTTGAACTCGGATGGGTGTTGGAGGCTTGGTTTGTTGATGAAAAATATGGTGACTTTGGGAGCTGCTCTTAATTCAAGGTACTCTTTTGGATTTAAAAGTCTTGGAAGTATTATTATGCTTCATCTTAATGTTGCACGCTACCAATTACCAAATCTCAACTGAACTTCAATTCTCAGACTGAGTCTGAGCCATTTGCATTCACCATTAAAAATTTCATAGGCAATATCACATTATTTCATGAAGTGCTAGGCAAGTCGGATGTTATCTGATAAAGGGCCTATATGAAATAGCCTCTTTGCAGTCTTAGGGGAGTAAGGCCGCATATGCTTCTGCCCCCTCTCCCCTTTCTTTCCTTGTCTTATTATAGTTACTCAATTAGTAAAGCTGAATTATGTTGCTAGAACTTAGTTTAAGTGGCCCTCCAACATTAGTTTCTGACTCAAGAGGTATTATCCTTTCCAGTCCCAATATATCTTTTCATTATCTTGCTAGTTATTCCCTTATCTGCTTATTCGAAGTTGATTATGGTTTTGTGAATCTGCTAAGTGGTGTAAAAACAAAACTACATGTATGTATTGCAAAAATACTTGTATAAAGAAAATAGAAATTTGTACTCAATGCTTACCTTAAGAGTCCTTTTTATCTCACTTACTGCGACAACTAAGTTCCATTTCAAAACTAAGTTGGTTATTGTGTTCCAGCATTACTGCAATTGGTACATCATCAAGCACTGGAATCATTGGTACCCAAGGAGGACATGTGTATACATGGGAATTGGCCACTGGAAGAAAACTTGAAGCCTTACATGATCTTGAAGGTATGCTCCTTTAAGAAAGTTGTATCTTTTGTTAGTGATAGTTGATACATCTGAATTGTGGTGCAATGTTGATGTGTTTTGAGCATCTAGTTTGGTTCAAATTTAAGTTTATAACCAAGTTGCTGTTGTATAGTGTCAGACATTTTACCCTGTCCTGACTTTGATGAATCATCTAGCACTGTTTTTTTCCAAGTCCATTTTCATTCTGTCCATCATTGGCGGATCATTGGAAACCTTGAAGAGTGAATAGTAAAACATTTGTTGCCTTATAGACTTCCATGTATAAGGAGCCTTTTACTGCACCCTAACTATTTCAAGTATAATCTAAAAACTATGTAAGAACTATTGAATCACAACAATGAAGTGAAAATTTTCCAGTATGCCAACTCATACTCCAACGTCCATTAAGCACAAATTATCTGCCACCTATGAGATGCGGCTTGACACTGGGATTGTCATCATGATACCGGCACTGCTTGGATGTACTGTGTTTTGATTTTAGCATCTATGTAAATATTGTTGTGAATTGATTTTTGAAGTTAGACACATAGACATCATCTCTCTAGTAATTCATTGTTTTAATGGGAATTTTGTTACTGTTTTGTTAACCTTACATTTTTTTTTCCTGGATGATTTATCATATTAATTACTCATCCATTTTCGTTCTCAGGCAAGGAAGTCTTGCATATTGCTATTACTGATGAGTCAACCTCATCTGCTGTGGCTGTAGCCGGAGATGGTGGTCAGTTGTGCGTTTATCTCCGCTCTTGAAATCTTGTGAATAATCATACATGCATATATTTTGTCTGCTAAAGCAATTTCCTACACACTACAAATGTATTGGATATGTACTGTGATAATGATACACCTGGTTGTGCTGGTGCATAATACCCTCATGATGGCTAGCCATGGTTGCTCGTGCTGTTCAGTTGCCAAACCAGAAACTGCACTGAGTTCAATCACTGTTGAGTTCTGCACAGCTTAAGGAAGAAAGGGACAGAGGCTGCATATAAGTAGTCAGCTAAAACTGGTTGTTCTCTGAAGCAAAAGACAGGAACTAACCTACCAATCTTTTTTTTTATCCTAGGAACAGGATACCAGGTTTCATGTGCATTAGATGTAAATCAACATATCATAATGTAAATTTTATTCTTTTGGAAATTCTTTCCTTGTAAATGTAATGAACACATCATTAAAATGACCCCCTTTTTGGTATATGAATGAATGAAGGTTGCAAGAAGATTGAAAATATAGCAAAGATCTGCAGGATTTTCTTGCTGAGTGCAAATTATTTGGTTCGGTCTTTGATTTGAAAAGTTCGATTAATTCAAAATTAAATTTAGTTTCGTCTGTATGATGAAAGAGGTTTTTACTTTGCAAGTACTATTACTAATGAATTCCTTATCAAAGTACAAGACTTAGGTTAACGTTTGAACTACCCAAACTATTCTATATAGGGACTAGATGTTAATAAAACTTGAGTAAGCTGCTGATATGAAGCTTATTCGACTTGTGCCCCCGCAATATCATGCTGTGGGTATAACTGCAAGGCCTTGATCACCTTGACTTTCTCTGCAACATAAAAAAGGAGAGAGTTAGAAATTCTAATAAAAAGCAATGCCACCGGTCTAGTAATCCCTCTCTGTTTGAAATTAGTTGTCATATTGTTACAATGATACGTAATCTTATAATGAAGTGTTTGATATGATTATACAAGGACATTCCTAGTAATACTTGTGTTACAACAATTATTTATTTACTCATAATTCTGTATATATGGCCATTGATATCAGACATACTGTATAGCTTAAACTGAAGCTAAAGTTAGTTCATGATTGATCCAAACATTAAAGGTTCTTTTAAATCCATTGGTTCAAACTTTAGGGTGAGTTTGTGAGCCTTAAAATGGCATAAGCTATTTGTTCCCTAATGAAAGGTCATATTACCACACATGCGTGAATGTTAGTGGAACCACATAGCAGCTCTCCATTCATGGTGTCGACTGCCTCGAATGCTCCTCCTCCAGAACTCCTCTGTTAATGTACTTATATTAGTCACACCATTGAATGAAATAATCTATAATAGCATTCTTGTAATATCTTCATCATATCGAGCTTAGTTCACGTTACCTTGTAGTAATCAACAGCAACAAAGTTAGCCCAGCGGTTACCAGCAGCAGCATAGCAAGTTTTTAGCATCTCAATCAGTTCTCTGGAGTTATGCTCACATGCTGTTAGTTTCACAGGAATTGTTTTAAAATGATTAACTAACACCAAAGATTTGGTGTGATCATTCAATGGAGATGACTCGTTTCGCTTTGGACATCTTCCTGGCTTCATCCCTTTACTTCCAACTGCAAAGCAGTTAAGGGAGAAAACTAATTAGCTCAATCAATTAATGTTTCTTGATCAAGTAAAAACAAACAAAAAAAAAAAAAAAATGTCATATATCTCACACTGATTTTCAACCATGTAGTTCCACTGGTAAGCAATCCCCTCGCTTCTTTCCTTATCCATATCGGAGGTGAACACGACAAGCCTTTGATTCTTAGCTACCATTTGGCTAACCAAGGGCCAATTCTTGCCATTCTTAGGCATGTTTGATACCGGGAACCAATATTTCATTAAGCCTGACTCCTTAAAAATTTTTGTCAACCCTTTCGGGGTCTTTACATAATCTTCCAAGATTAGTGTTACAATTTCTGATGGATTGGATGCCATGAATACTTCAATTTCCTTCAATGTATCAATAGCACGTTCCTTTAATCACGAAAACAAAATCAACATTTCAATCACATCGGTTTACATAATGTTCTTATGTTCCTAGTAAAAAAAACGAGTCTAGTTCTTACAAATGCGGTATATGAGTGACATTGGCCTTTAAACGAATGGCACAACCACACATCTCCTTTGTAGTCATAGGTATCTAGCATCAAGGCTCGAACACCATTCTGCACACAAGTAGTAAATGATCATCAAAACAATTTTTTTAAACAGACATTTGGTTCAAAAGTGATGCTTACTCTATATCTCATTTGTTCTAATAACAGACTGTAGGGGAAAAAAGGCTTACTTGTAGTTGTTGTGTGACGCTATCTTCTTGATTTCTGAAGGTTACTCTAGGAGCTTTGGTATTGTGGCGTTCTCCTTCGATGGCAAAGGAATTATGAGTTGTCAAGAATGCATATTTGTTGAAAGGCAGAGAATCATTCTGGAAACAGCAGAAATAAGAAAAAGTTCTTACAACAGATTAACAGTGCTAGATTAATATCTTTGCCACTTCAAATAAATACGTTTGTAATCTTTGTATATGGCTAAAAATTTCTTTCTTGAAAACCATTTGATTTTTTCATAGTTTGAATTAGTATGAAGTATAAAGTTTATATACTTGTACTTTCCTTAAATTATAGAGAGTAAAATGTTGATGCATGTTATTTGTAGAAGCTTGGTAAGTCTTACCTATCCAGAGTTACAGATGATCCCTAGAGACACAAACCGCTACATTCGAGTTCATTTGAATTTCATTAACTCAGTTTGATCGATTACTAGCTTAGCATAATAGCTAGTACAAATACGGTTTGAAGCAAAGTAAAATCAAGACCACATTATTAGAGGAATTTCTTTATCATTTTTCGGAATTTCCCTAAGGTTGCTAGCTAAAATATCAAAAAGAATTCACTCAAGTTTAAACCTTTTTTCAGTCTCAAAGATAGATTTATCATTGCTTAATTGTACGTTAACCAGTTGTACATTAACACGGACATGTAACTATGATATCCTCAACATAGCAAAATTTAGAAGTTTTTAATAGTGATCTTTATAGAACAGTATAATTCTCAATGCTAGTAATTCCAATCAGAAGATTCAAAATCATCATGCAATTTGTGATACATAGCAAGGTACACGAGAAAAAAGTAACATACCACAAGTTTGAACTGATTAGTGACAGTTGATCGAACACATTTTGACCCACTAAAACATGGTCTTGGATACCGACAATTAGAACAGTACAAACCAGCACCACAATCTGAATTTCTTGCACAATTTTCCATAAACTGCAAACCATAAAATTATTAGCATTGCAAACACAATTTACTTTGAAAATAAAGCAAATTTCAAGCAACAAACTGTACTGTTCCCTTCATTCATCTCTAAATGTATGTCGCTCTTACACACTGACTTTTTTTTGTGACAATCGCCGTTAAAATAGGAACAACATTTAGAGACGAGGGGTATATATATTCATGTATAATGTACCTTGCACTGTCTGTTGGAGCAAGAAGCAGAGATAACAACAGCATTGTGTACGATGGTTGAGAATAATATTAGTGAAACTAAAAGCAGATTATTTGGAATAATCATATTGTTTGTTAGGAGTTAGGAGGTTTTAAGAGAGTTTAAGGAATTGTAAGGTTTAAATAAATGGGAAGAAAGGTGAACAGATATTTAAGGCCAGAAAGTGAAAGAGTTCCACCAGTTGGTTGGTTCAGATGATTGAAGCTGACGGTTACTACTTACTAGATGCTTTAATTTTGTGTTTTGTGGGAAAAACCGTTCTTTTTTTCTTTTTCTATGGCAATGCGCCATTGCTGATTGGGCCCGTGGGGACCTCGTGTTGGGTCGGATATTGAAAACAACGATTGGGGACCTCCTCGCAAACAAGGTTTTTCTTGTATGTATGTTTGATCTCTTAATTTCATTTATCTAAACTTATTATAATTTATTAAAAAAAATCTTATTAAGTATATTATAAATTGGATTTGGATAACTTTTTATTAAATGTTAACTGAACTTATATTAAATAATCTAAATTTATCTTATCTAAACCTACCTTGAAAGACGATGACCACAAGGTAGACACTAAGTAATGACTCAGTTGATGTCTTGTGCTATTGCATGCTTGCTCTAAATTAGTCAAGTACTATATAATGGATAACTAAAGTGATGTGTAAGTACACAATTTACAGATGATAGTCTCTTATTTACTAGAGCTACTCGACAGGAATGCTCTATAATTGTTGATATTCTCATCAAATATGAAGCAAATATTAAGCAACTTTTGGGTAAAAAATTAATTTGGAGAGGTTGGAAGTATCTTTTAGTAAAGGTGTTCCATTGGTGTCAAGGGTTACATTTAGGGGCCGTTTGGTTGGGGTTAATCATCAAAGGAATAGGAATAAGTTGTCCTCATTCCCTTTGTTGTTGTTTGTTAGACCATATATCTCATTCCCTTTACCCTCTTCATTCCCCCAAATCCCTCTAAGTTCATTCGTCACCCCCCTAGACTTTTCCATTCCCATTCCCTAGCCACCAATAACCACCATACCACCACCTTCCACCTACCCAAATCACCTGAAACCCGCACCACCGCACCACGGCTAATTACATCACCACTCGCCGCGTCTCCCCCACCCCTAGCCGCAACTCCCTTCTTCTCGCAGGCAAACCACAGACTTCCAAAACTCTACCCCCATCCCCGTAAAAACCTAAAAAAAACCTTCTCTCTCACTGTAAACCGCCCATCCGGCCCTCCTCCACCGTCAAAACCCTAGGCGCTAGGGTTTCGAGGGAGGAAGAGGGCTGGGTGACAGGTTTTACGAGTGTAAGCCTAATTTATAGGGTTTCGGGGCTGGGGATGTTTTCGAGGGAGGGGAGAGATGTGGGGGCCGGTGAGGGGCGAAGGAGGGCCGACAAAAGGCGGCGAGTGGTTGGGAAGGTGCGACCGACGGTTTGACAAGGGGGGAAAGGGGTTTTTTGCGGGTGGGTCAATGTTTTCTGGGGAGAGGGAGTGCTTTTCGGGGAGCGAGGATGGGCAGCGAAGGGTGGGGGACGTGCGGCGAGGGTCGGTGAGTGAGGTTGGGTGGTGGGGTGGCTGGAAAAGGTTTCAAAGTGAAGAAAATAGGTGGTTCTATGGTGGTGGTGTGGTGGTTTGACTGGTGGTTTGTTTCCTTGTGTTTTTTGTAAAACAAACAACATTGTACTTGGAATGGTTTTTCTTTCCATTCTCCTTCTTTCCTTTTGTTCATTATATTCCGTTTACCCTGTTCAAACCAAACAGCCCCTTATCTCTATTCTTGATATGGAAATGGTTGATAACCATGTCAAATACCTTGGTTTGCCAATCGTTGTGGGAAGATCGAAGAAAGCGATTTTTACTTTTGTGAAGGATCGAATTTGAAAGAAAGTTCAAGGCTGGAAGGAGAAGTTACTTTCGAGAGCCGGAAAAGAATTTTTGATAAAGTCCGTCATCCAAGCTATTCCAACATATCTTATGGGGGTTTATAGATTTCCTACAGGTTTGATCCAAGAAATTCATGGAATGATGGCCAGGTTTGGTGGGGGTCGAATGAGAGAGAGGTAGGAAGATCCATTGGAAAAGTTGGGATGCTCTTTATCAACCGAAATGGCTTGGGGAAATGGGATTTAGAGACTTGGGAGTCTTCAAAACGAGGCTCTCCTTGCAAATAGCTATGGAGATTTAATTAGCTAATAATGAAAACTTGCTTGTTAGCCGAGTCTTCAAAGCCAAGTACTTTCCGCGTTCTTCTATTTTCGAAGCTGCCCTAGGCCCTATTTCTAACTGTTCTTGGTAAAGCTTGTGGAGTTCAAAGGCACTAGTTAAGGAAGGGATGCTTTGGAGGGTGGGAGATCGATAGCAGGAATATTAAGATTTGGGAAGACCCGTGGCTGATTGATGAAGAAAGCAGGTTTGCTACCACAATGAGAAATGAAGAAGAGTGTTGCACCGTTAATGAGCTGTTTGATGAAACAGGTTTGGAGTGGGATTTTGGCTAAATTGATCGCATCTTTAATGAGAGAGATATGAAAGCCATTTATGCTATCCCTTTCAGTGAGAGACGCCCAAGGGACTTCCTTACTTGGGCGTTGTCGAAGGATGGATGCTATGAAGTCAAGACCGCTTATTTATTGGAGAAATCTTGTTTTCTTGAGGAGTTTGAGTATTATTGGGCTGAAGTGTGGAAGGCAAAGACGACTCCAAAGGTGCGACATTTTTTGTGGAGGTGTTGTTCGGATGCTTTTCCCTAGGGGTGTTGTAGACACCTAAAAATGTCTCCCCAAAACAAAACCCGATGATAAACCCCTTTCACCGTCACTATTGGTCGGGTTCAGTATTTAATCCCAAGAGTGCTTAAAAAATCATATTTAATTAAATTCAAATTTTGAATAGTCCATGGGTCAGTCTTGATGTTTGGTCAAAGCATAGATTTTTTAATTTCAGCCCAAACCTTTTTTATTTTATTGTTTTATTATTTATTTTTGGCCCAAACCTTTTATTTATTTTATTTACTTATTTTCTTATTTTAGCCTAAATAACAATAAATCAAAAAAAGGCCCGAAATTATCAATCGACACTTAAAATGCTGAACGAAATTAGGATTAAAAATGAATTTAGACGGAAAAGCGGACTGAAAATTCCCGCGCCACGGCAGCTGTTCACCGTGTCACGGGAAACTTTCCCGTCTGACGATGGAATTTCCCGTGACACGGGAAACCTGCTGTGACACGGGAATTTCTGTGTCCTTTCCGCGTAAACCCTTAACGCGTTTTCTCCCCCGTTTACTAAATATTTCCCGCGTCACACAAAATTTGCACCGTGTCACGGGAATGTTTCCCGTCTGACGGTGGGATTTCCTCTGTCACGGTACAGTTTGCCGTGTCGCGGGATACTTTTTTAAGGTTTTTATCATTTTAGGGTTCCGTGTGTTCCCTCAGCACATTTTCTCTATAAATACCCCCTCATTTCTGATGTACGTGGCATCAATTAATTCTCTATTTTTCTCTCTTCTATGCTTTAGCCTAAACACTAGCCTACCCTTCTTCTTTCAAAATTCCTTCTTCAAGTACTCCAAGGAGTCCATACTTTACTCGTGGTTCTGTCCTTAAGCCAAGGCGTGAAAGGTAGAACTGTTTGAGGGTTTGGCCCCAAATCAATTCTATTTATTTTAATTTAATTATTGTTTTATTATTATTTCCTCGAAGTTACTAACTCGTTTATTATTTTGTAGTTGCAAACAAACAGAATCAAAGTAAGAGTTATGTTCCTTTTATTTCTATTATTTTTCTAACGATTTTTGTATTGTTAGAATTATTGTTAAATTGCTTCCAATATTAATGTTTATTCTATTGTTATTATGATCACCATATTTCATGTTTAATGGGAATATGTAATTGAAAATCACGCCTAATAAGATAATTTGGACAACCGATTTAGGATCCTTTTTAATCTTGTTGTTTAATCAAGTGATCACAAATATTATGTGTTGCATTAATATTAAACCAATTTAGCATAATAATAGTTTGGAGCAAATTGAATCTTTGTTTGCATGCCTTTGAGATCGCAGGAATCACTTTTCACTGTAAGAATCGAGTAGAGACCAATACGGGCAAATGTGACTCCATGAATCACTTCGTACCATCATCCCCGATCCTCCTTTCGTGGTTCCGAACCATATGGAGTTAGTAATCTCATGGATTATGAATGGGGTGTAACCTTCACGGGTCAATCGTTGTTGCCTTCGTTGTCCCTTTATCGTGGCTGCCTTTTATGATCCGTGAACGGTTTACAAGTTCCTTAAAAACTTGTTGGCGGCTCCCTACTTTCCTTGTCCCTAATCGTGTCCCTTATCGTATATGTCAATTCCCACTTCCTATGAGTGCCAAGCATATTCACCACATGCTTTAACGTAGGCGCACTTCGAGCGACGCCTACAGGTGTTCATAAATCGGTTCAGACCGAAAAAATGGATCGGACCACCCCAAACCGAACCTGGACCGGACCTAATTAATCAGTCCGGTCTTTGGGTCTTGAAATTCATTTTTTTCGGCCCGGTCCAAACCCCTATAAAAAACCGGTCTTAGACCATACCGATTTTTTTATTAAAAACATGCGTGAAACCTTAAATAATGGTTAAAATTATCCTTAATAAGCTTAGAAAACTTTAACTTTATAAGTTTTTTGTACTAAACATATAAAAAAAGACGTAAAAATGACGTTAAAATATAGATTTTCCTTTACTTTTTTCGTGTTTTCCATAACTTTATTAAAAATTTAGTATTCTTTTTAAGTAAATCTTAAATCGGTCCAAAGTGGTCCGGTCCGGGTTCGGTCCTAGCTTAATCGGTCTGGTTTTTTGTTCTTAAAATTCTAATTTTTGGTCCGGTCTTGGACCGATGAACAACCCTACTCTTCCCACAAGGAGTATTTTGGAGCATAGACATCTTGTTGATGACTACTGCCCTTGTTGTAACTCTGAGAGTGAATCCACCATTCATGCCCTTCGAGGAAACTTTGCTTTGGTTGGGCAAAAACCTTCACGAAGGAGGTGTATCAAAGAAGCCTATTTCTCGCTTGGTTCATTTGGTTTAGGCGCAATAAATGGGTTTTTGAGAATAAGCTAAGTGGGAACCGGATGAGGTCATTCTCCTAAGGCACTGCAGACTTGTGGCAGATTTTGAAGAGTACTCGGAGAGGATTTATGGGGGTTTCTCTCCCATTTCGAATCCTACTGAGGATTTATGGGGGTGTCTCTCCCATTTCAAATCCTACTGGTGATAAGGTTTGGACTCCCCCACCTCAGGTTGTGGCAAAGATCAATGTCGATGCTTTAGATGCTGAGGGATGGGTTGTCCTTGGGGTGGTTGCTCGTGATTATAAGGGGAAAGTGCTATTTGTTGTTGTTATAAGAATCAAAGCAAGGTGTGATCCTCTAGTAGCCGAGAGCAAGGCTTCGTTATTTGGCATTCAAAAGGCGATTCCCTTTGGCTACAACGATATCATACTAGAGTCTGACTCGTTGCTCCTTGTTTTCAAGCTCAAGAAAAACTCAATATCCTTTGCTACGGTTGATGGAATCCTTGAAGATATTCTATTAGCTATCTCGAATTTTTCTTCCATTATTGGTCCCATGTTAAGCGTGATGAGAATTTTGTTGTCCACCATGTTGCTAAGTTAGTGCCGTTAGGTAGTGAACAAGGTTGGAAAAATCTTGTCCCAAATGAGATTGCCCTGTATGTATTTTTGGATACTCTTACGATGAATAAATGCACTAACTGCTTTTTTTCAAAAATAAATAAATTACAATTATGTACATGAATGTGATTGGCGCAAGAACAACTTTCACAAATAAGCTATTAATTAAAATTAAAGAGACAAATAAGGACTAATTAACAAATCTTGTAACCTGGTTGGACTATTGAATAAGAACAAAAAACAAATAGTTATTCCAACGATGGTTCTCATATCATAATCTTTATACTCTGTGTAACCTATGTTTACTATATGATATCGAATGAAATAAATTGGTTATTTGGGAATGAAAGTATGAAAAGTGTTTAACAATTAATCATTAGATCCTTCTACATCCATAGACAACCACTACTTTGATTTATACAACTTTGATTATCATTTAATTTAATTTCAACAACACACAAACTTAATTTAATCACTGCACATAACCCTTAAAAAGTACACAAGAGAATTGCTAAGAGTTAATCGAATTTAGTGGCGGAGATATATATATATATATATATATATATATATATATATATATATATATATATATATATATATATATATATATATATATATATATATATATATATATATATATATATATATATATTTGTTGCAAGATTTGAACTTTGATATCTTATCCATTATTTTATGACAAAAACAGTACACTAATTTTAAAAGCAAGTATGGGCAAAATTTAATCTTTATCTTGAGCAAAGGGGGAGGCCATTGGCTCCGGTGCTCCACCCCTAATCGAATTAGCACATACAAGTAAATGGAAAAATTAGAAAAATCTAGATAATGAATATAGATGGATTAATGCATTTTTGTTTCTTGATTTTACATACATAATCGACACATATCAAGCAATAGTTTGGTCAATCATAAAAAAATCCTTCATGACGGCCACATACATGAAAATAAAGAGTAAGGTAAGAGCATTATTATTATCTCCGAGCACTCTCACATGACTAGATTCAAACTCTAGATAGCAAAGTCTCTTCGATAGTTACTGTGCTTACTTAATACTTTTTCGAGTGTTAATTAACACTAATTTTTTTTAATGTAATTTACGTACACATCGTGTACATATGACTAGTCTAAAAGGCGAAAGAGAGAGTAGTTGAATCAAACAAAGCAAGAAGTTTCGGATTAAAATTTGGAGGAGAGGAAACAACGACTGGGGAGGTCGGCCTAAGCAAAATCCAAACTTTCAACCTCCCAAGGTTTTAGGAGAGAGAAAATCAGGGAGAAAATCCAAAACCCTCTTCAATTCTCCAACAAAGAAAATGCCAACTTTGACGAAACTCTTTAGTATGGAAGAAGCCGCCGAGCACAACACCAAGGATGATTGCTGGGTAGTTATTGATGGAAAGGTTACCTTTCTTTTCCTTGATTTTTTCATTCATTTTCCAGATCTTCTTATTAAGTTCTATTAATTTGCTTCATTTGGGTGTTCATTATTGTGGAATTTGTTCAACAAGTAGTTTACTTTAGTGGGTTTTGATTTGATTTTGTAATGGTTGTGCTTAATTGAAAGAAATGGCATCTGGGGTTTCGCTTGGTTTCAATCTTGCTCTGAATTTGTAACTGTTGTACAACTCCACTGCGTTTTGTTTTGTATTTTCAGTAAATTTGATTACTTTTTGCTTTATATATCCTTGATTAGTGAGGAAATTTTAAGTTATTAGGTTTAAAATCCTCATTGTTGATGCCTTGTTGGGTTATTGCATAATAATCCAATGCCCCAATTTGGTGTTGTTTGTGCTCGACATAGTTGTGGACTCCAATGCACATTTTGGTCTTGTTTATGCTTTGATTAGCTGTGGAAATATGTTAGATGGTTGTGGATTCCAGTTCTGTATTCGGTTCCGTTTGTGCTCAACATAGCTGTGGACTCCAAAGTTCCAATTTGGTTTTAAGTGTACTATGATACACTTCAATTGTTCACATGACAACAAGAATACCAACTGAACAAATGATACAACAAAAATAAGACACAGTAAGCCCAAAAAACAAGGAGTTGAGAGCAAACACTACCAAATTGAGGCTTTGGAATCCACGGCAAACACTAGCAAACACTACCAAAAAACGTTACTGAAGACGTAGCTTAGACATTGCTGTGGATTCCAAAGCCTCAATTTGGTAGTGTTTGCTCTCAACTCCTTGTTTTTTGGGCTTACTGTGTCTTATTTTTGTTGTATCATTTGTTCAGTTGGTATTCTTGTTGTCATGTGAACAATTGAAGTGTATCATAGTACCTAGCTAGTTTTTGGGCTTTTAGGATAATTTACTGATTTTACTCTACACATGAATTACTCCATGATTGGATGTATATTTCTCTGTTTACTTCTGTGTTTCCTTAGATTGAGTTGGTGTTGGTGTTGGTCATTTAGAGGCAGATCTTTGAACTTTGTTATTGTTGGGGTTTATGATGCTCTAAGATATCCTCAATGTTTTAAAGACTAAAAAGAGGCTGTGCTTTCTCACTTTCCCGCTATATACTATATTTTCTGGCTTGTAAGTACAAACCATATGTATGCATGTATTCTGAGTTTGAGTGCATATACTTAGATTATCTTTTCTTTAAATTACAAGATAAGACTTATGTAGCTTAGGTATTCGGTATTCCTGTCAATGAGAGGTATACTAGCTGGATGTTTGGGAGGAATTCTTTACGAGTTGGGAGATTATTTTGATGTCAATATTAATATTTCAACATGTTTGATTTTTTCAAGAAGCTCTGCTGCTATCTCAAATCAATTAGCATCACTTTATTAGGTGTATTCTAGCTCTCTTATGTATTCAGTAGATCTCAAGCATATCAATTATTTTTGTGGCATATATGTTTGTGCTTTAAAGTGTGCACTTATGTTTGCAAGAATTGCAACAAATCATGAAGCCATATATCTTTTCCAAGTGTGCTTATAATCATGTGTGAATGTCTTTCCTCTCAAGATGTTTGGGATGAGAGAGATTGTTGTGTGTGTGTGTGTGTGGGGGGGGGGGTTCAAATCAGTTTTGCTTCCAAAATTGTCGCTGCTTGTGTTTCTCAAGCTGTCAGATTGCTATTGTTGCATTAACATGTTTGTGATGTGCTTTTAGTTATCTTCAATTCTTCATCACTCGTGTCCAATAAGTATATATGTCAATCTTAATCCTCCTGCATTTAGCTTTGGAGTTTTTCTCTTGCCAAATACTTTGTATATGTGTCATTTGTTGTTTGGTCACAAAGAGTTGTGTTCAAATTCAGAATTATCTATCTCAGTGGTTAAGTTATTCACGCTAGAAGCTCTAAGTACGTGTGAAGTCAGGTATAAGTATAAGGTATAACATCTTAAATTGGATAGAGGATTACCACTAGTGTTGCTGATGTCTATCTTTCGAGTCGTACGGGCTCTTTCTTCTCAATGAGCTTGTTTTTCTGCATATTTAACATGGCTTAATGTGCCGTATCTTGTGTTACCATATTTAATGATTATTAGTCCAAGCTTTGGTGAACGTGTGCTTTGAGTAAACAAGGCAGCATATTGCCACACTGCCCATACATAGTGTATTAGTGTATGTTATAGACTGATTTTCTGGGTTTATAATTCTGATATAATATTGGTAGTAAATAAGATTTAAGCTTGAATTTTGATTGATAATGTTGAAAGGTTACAAAAGGATAGGTTAATAGCTTTAGGCTATCACTCTCAAGATGGCTTTAGGCCATGACTCTCTAAGGTTTTCCTTCCATACAAATTTCTGCCTAATCTTCCCACTACTCAAACTACCATACTTATACTAAAATGATCAAGCTGACCTTAAGGCTAACATCTGATACTTAGCTAATTTAGAAAAACATAAATAGAACACAAAGAAATTAGATGTCTTCCTTTCCTTCTATTCTTCTTATTGGAGTTTGTCTTGTTGCTAAGAAGTGCCCCCTGCTGCTGTTGCTTGTTGCTGCCCATGCTTGCTCCTCCCTTTGTGCCTCGTATACACCACTAAAGGTGGTTGACCAGGCTGGGTTTGACCCAAGTTGAGGTTTGACCCCGGATTGGTGTGTGGGTTACTTGGATCCATGACATTGTATTGATCTTATTTAATTTTTTCAGAATTCGTTTTTAATGTGTAGTCAATTACTCCCTGTTTTGGAAAGTATATGGATATAGTATTATTCATCTTACTTAGATTTTGGAACTCAGTGAATGATTCCTTTTCAGGTGTATGATGTTACATCTTACCTCGACGATCATCCCGGTGGAGATGATGTGCTTCTCAGCGCAACTGGTATGTCCATTTATCTCCGTAGATCCAGTGTTTGCTGTTATGTATCAATATTTTCCCAGTATAAGAAACCTAATGTTGATGCCCTACAACTTATGAGATAATCATTACACTGTAATGGTGGGAAGCTTATAAAAATATTCTATGCAAATTTTCTGAAGTATCATGTACGTATAATGAAGGAAAGGACGCAAAAGAAGAATTTGAAGATGCTGGACATAGCCAAGACGCGAGGGATGAGATGGAGAAGTATTTTGTTGGAGAGTTAGACCCATCTGCTGCAACTATTCCAGAACCTAAACAAGAAAAGAAGGATCTGGATACCATCCAGAAGATTAAGGACTTGCCTCTGCAGTACTGGGCAGCTCCTATAGCCGTTGTTGGCATCTCAATTGTAGTTGGCTTCCTTTACTTACGAAAGAAGTAGGAAACTCGTAGAAGCAAGCAGGGAGCAAGTAGAACAAGCATCATACTTCAATTCAACTCAAAATAATTGTTGATTGAATGAGAAGGATAGCTTAGCAATTTTGATAGAAAATTTATTCACCTGGATTTTTCATTGATAAACAATAGTATATCCTGATATTCTTGTGGAAGCATGAATTTTGGTCAGAGCTTGAGAGTACGCATAATACGAGAAGTACGTGGAGAATTGATCATTCAAATTGGTTGTTTATGTGTTTTCGAAGGTCTCTCTTATAATTTTCAAAAATGGAATATTTAACTTAATCAATAACTCAATTTATCTAACTTTATTCTGATACTGATTATAATGCAAAATCAGATCGAGCAAATGAAATACACGAGGAAAAAATGTGAAAGAAAGGCCTTGTTTGGCAAATGGCGGTTGGCTGTTGGCTGGTTCACTTGGCTTGTTTGACCAGCTAGAATGTTTGGCTGTTTATAATGGCTTTTGAAATTGGTTGTTTAAGCTGGTTGTTTATAAAAGTTTTTGGTAATTAATTGTTGGTTGTTGGCTGTTTATTAGATAATTTGTGGGCCAACAAGCCAAAAGCTAACAAAAAAGCTACTCAAAGCAGCTTTTTCATTTTCAGCTTTTTCGCTGACTAAAAAGCCAATTACCAAACACAATTTTTGGTTGTTAGACCACCTAAAAAAGCCAAAAGCTAACCAAAAAGCCATTAAAAAGCCAATTACCAAACATGGCCTTAGTGTTTGTTTGGTCGGATGAAGAAAGTAGTAACTCTAGTGAGACTTCAACACACATGGAGTTCTATTTCCTAGGAAATGACAAGATTTGTTCAATTTACTGGTTCAATTTATTTTTATCAATAACTCATATGTGTATATATTCTCTTTATCAACCATACTTTTTTTATAGAGTATATTTATACAAGAATTGTTGAATTACAAATTATTGTACTCCCATTTTTAAATACTTGTTCCACTTTCCTTTTTCAACCGTTTTTAAATACTTGCTCCATTTCTTTTTATGGAAAGCTTTTACAATATTTAATTCATTTCTCACACTTAGTGGACCCAACATAATACTCTATCTCCTCCTATTCTTCCACTACTTTTGCTTTTTACAATTTTTTATTTTCTCAACTACTCCACTACCTCTATATTTTATTACTTTTTCCAATTTCTCCTAAAACTCCGCGCATGGAGAAATGGAGAAAGTATTTAAAAATAGAGGGAGTAAATCTTTATAAATATAGACATTTAGTAAAGGGAAAATGAAAACTAATAATCCTATCTTTCCTCTGTCTTCCGTAAACAATCTCACCTTTTGAAATTTTAGAAACAATCCCACCTTTGACAGAGATATTCCACTAACGATCCCTTTGACCTTCAACCTATTAAACAGGTTAATTCTTTTTTTTTCCTTAATTTTTCTTAGTTTCTCTTCTTGGCCACCAGTCCACCACCAACACCACCCCTGCACCCTCATGCACTACACCAGCTGCTCACCTTTGACAGGGATATTTCACTAACGATCCCTTTGACCTTCAACCTATTAAACAGGTTAATTCTTTTTTTTTCCTTAATTTTTCTTAGTTTCTCTTCTTGGCCACCAGTCCACCACCAACACCACCCCTGCACCCTCATGCACTATACCAGCTGCTCACCTCCTCCCACTTTACCACCGGCAACAAATACACCATCGCAACCAACATCAACAACAACCCACAACCACCTAACTACTTGGAAAACACCACCCTCAAACCCAATAAAAATAAAGAATGGTTGCGGCACCGCATCAATAGCACCACCCGCCTCAACTCCGCTGCCAATTCCTCCGTTCAACCCCTCTCTTCGCCGATCTCAGGCAGCTTCGACGATGCTTCCACCGCCAACATCCTCCTTCGCCTCTTCCATGAACCCGATTCTCTTTCCTCCATTGCACCGAAACCTCCAATTCTCTCTCCCCCATTGCGTCGAAACCTTCAATTCTTTTTCCTCCAATGAATTTTAGTATTACCTTCATTCTTTTGCGCTTTGTAGGGCCAAGTATTTCTTCGCTTTGTTCTCCGATCGATGGAGCAAAAATGATGAAATCACCTTCTCTTTGCTATGAGTCTATGACAGTGATATGGAGGGGCGGGGATGGGGGCCTTTCAGGCGATAAGAGTGGCGATGACAGTGGTTTCTGACGCCTTAGAGGGGTAGGTTGGGTTGCGAGACTGGGGTTGGGGCGTGTCTGGGCTAGTGTCGGGGTTGTTTTGGTTTTTTTTTTAGTTAATTTTTTTTATTAGTATAATTTAGAATAAACCAATTAAAATTCGACACTTGTCTTATAAGACCGACTAAAGGTGGGATTATTAGATTCCATTTTTCCTATAATAAAAATGGAATACACGAGACTTCAACTAGTTAACAAGATATATGGCATGTTCTCATTTACCGAACTGAACTGATTAGAACTGAACTGAACTAAACTGATTAGAGTTGAACTAAACTGAACTGAGTATTTTATACTCCCTCCGTTTTTTTTTGTAAGTGTTACACTTCCTATTTTCAGCCGTGTTTTTTAAGTGTTACACTTTCTTTTTTGGCAAAAAGCTACATTAAAATATCATATATTTCTCCTCTCATGGTCTCCACCCAAACCCAATACTATTTTTTATATTATATATTTCCTCTCACATTCATTACTTTTCAATAAAATATTAACCTCACTATCTTATTTTTACAATTTTTTAATACTCCAACTACCCACTCTTACCTCTTATTTTATTTAAATCAATTATAAAATGCCTAAAACTATGTGCTGGTCAAAGTGTAACACTTAAAAAAACACGGAGGGAGTTAGAGGAAGAAATTAGGAGCTGAACTGAATTGAAATTATTAGAGCTAAACTGAATTGAAATTATTAGAGCTAAACTAAATTGAAATTATTAGAGCAAATAATCATATTAAAACAGGTCATACAGTATAACTCTAAAACAAAACTTACAGACACCCGATTCAACAAAACCAATTCCACGGCCCCCGGAGAACAATCTTTGAAATTGCAGTGTTCACTCTTCACAGCAGCGAACACAAAAAAAGAAAGAAGAAGAGAGAGAAAAGGAAGAGACAATGATGAATCAACCAGGAATGCAGAAGAACACACTCTATGTTGGAGGATTGGCAGAGGAAGTTAACGAATCCATTCTTCATGCCGCATTCATCCCTTTTGGAGAAATCAAAGATGTCAAAACCCCACTTGATCAAGCTACCCAGAAACACAGATCCTTTGGTTTCGTTACTTTTTTGGAGAGAGAAGATGCTTCTGCTGCCATGGATAACATGGATGGTGCTGAGCTTTATGGTCGTGTTCTTACTGTTAATTACGCTCTTCCTGAGAAGATTAAGGGTGGTGAACAAGGATGGGCTGCTCAACCTAGTATGTTCCCTCTTTTCTTTCTCTTTTTTTGTTCTGAAACCCTAATTTTAATCTTAGTTTTTCGTGGGTTTTGTTGTTGATTGTTGAATTTATGTTGCTATAATTTGTGGGTTTATTTTTGTTTTCACAATTGTGAGGTTTGGTTGTTGTAATTTATGTTGTGGGGTTTGTTTGTTGGGGAAGAGGGGTGATTGTAATTTGGATGAATATTGTTTCTGAGTTAGGCATTGATTTTGGTGGTTTTGTATTGCTTGGTATTACAATTCTTGAGGAGTGATTGAGTTCAAATTCGTGGCCAAATTATTACTCCCTTCGTCCCTAGATTATATTCCTACTTCTCTCTATTATGTGAGGAATTAATGCTAGAAGTAGGAATGTAATTTAGGAACGGAGGGAGTATGAGATAAAGAAAGGTTTGTCCTGAAATTAGTAGAGAGGGAGAGAGGGTGAGGGCTATTAATGTTGACAAATACCGTGATTTCATCTGCCATGAAAAATCTGCAATCTTGTTCTAGGATGTGTGCTTGTGTTTTCAGCATGAATGTGCCAAGATTTTCATAATAGAGCATATGACGTTTATGCAAATAGATGATTGTGTTTATTTTAGAAGTTTGAAACTTGCAAACAGTTAATGCTTTGATATCTAATTCACTGGCAAATTCCGTGTGAGGGTTGTTCGATACGATTTGCCCAATATGTAGAACCTGTGTTACACTGGAACAAAAACAGGAAAGCTTGAGAACACATTTTCAGACAATGAGTAATTGTAGAATTACATAGAGTGAACAATAAATCAATTATTTTGCCTATGCTTAGAAGAACGGAACACTTTGGTCTGTTATTGGCAGCAATACATAGATAAGGAGGGTATTGTAGATAGTATAGTTCTATTTGAAGGTATTTGTAACAGTACACAAGATATGTACTGGAATCTCAAGCAATTATCACTAAGAATTAGCGATTTCAATGGAGAAACTCCATTGATGACTCAAGAAGAATACAGAGGAATATCAGACGAAGAAGTAGAGAGAGAAACTTTGGGATTTCTATTTCTTAAGAATTGAATTAAAAAAAAATCTTACATTGATTACAGATATTAATACTTTGTAAGGAACTAAAAATATCTCTAACAAACTTATGCTGACTCATCAAAACTAAGCTGACTCAACTCCCAACTAACCACCTATTACAATACTTCCCCTTTAAGACAACTTGTCCTCAAGTTGACACATCAAATCCAGGGAAACGTTTTTCAAAATCCTCAGCAAACTCCCAAGTTGCTTTAGTAGCAGGACAATTCTTCCAACTCACTAAATACTGGACTGCTGCAGCATTGTGATGTTTAACTGTTCTTCTTCCCAAAATAACCTCAGGTTCCCACTCCTCATCTGCATCCTTGCACTGTAACCACTCAGGAATGTGAGTAATTGCTGGTAAAACCCCACGAAAGCTCTTCAATTGAGAGACATGAAAGACAGGATGAATTTGAGCATCTTGAGGTAGCTTCAACTTATAAGCAACACTTCCAACTGATTCCAAAATCTGAAAAGGCCCAAAGAATCTAGAAGAAAGCTTTTCATTAAAGTGTCCTTTGATTGATTTCTGCCTATAGGCCTGAAGCTTCAACCACACCCAACTTCCAACAGCAAACTTCCTGTCACTTCTCTTTTTGTCAACCTGGGACTTCATTCTGTCCTGAGCTCTTCTCAAATGAAACTTTACCCTCTGAATCATTTCCTCTCTCCTCCTCAAAGATCTGTCAATAGCATCAACCTTTGATTCTCCTGGCAAATAAGGTAGATGAAGTGGTGGGGGTTGAGAATAAACTATCTCATATGGAGTAGCCTGAGCTGAAGTATGAAAAGTAGTATTATACCACCATTCAGCTAAAGGCAACCACCTACACCAATGCTTAGGATTCTCACTAGTCATACACCTAATATAGGTTTCAAGGCATCTATTAACTCTCTCAGTTTGACCATCAGTCTGAGGATGATGATGGTAAGCTGATGAAAGCAGCAACTCAGTACCTTGTAACTCAAACAAGGCTCTCCAGAAGTTACTTAGGAACACAGAATCTCTATCACTAACAATAGATCTTGGCCAACCATGCAATCTGAATACATGATCCAAATAAACTTGAGCCACATCAACAGCTGAATAGGGATGAGACATAGCCATGAAATGAGCATATTTACTAAACCTGTCCACCACCACAAATATAACAGTTTTCCCACCAGCATTTAGAAGGCCACCAATAAAGTCCGTCGAAATATCAGTCCACACCTCATGGGGAATAGGTAGTGGTTGAAGTAGACCAGGAGTAGCCACATTCTCAGTTTTGCTTGCTTGACAAACCAAACAACCTCTCACAAATTTGGACACAAATGCAGACACACCTCTCCAATAAAACATACTTTTTACTCTGACTAAAGTTGCATCCCTGCCAGAATGGCCACTTTGACCAGAAGAGTGCAGCCACCCCAGAATAGCAGCCTTCAATTCATCATCTGGTCCCACCACCAATTTCCCTTTTCTTCTGAGTAGTCCATCAGCTATAACATAATGAGGATAAGAGTGACCCAACTGAATATCACTAAATTTTTTTGCAGTATTTACATCCAACAAATAACTGTCTTTGAGCTTCTGAGCTAAGTTAGAATCTAAGACAGTCAAAGCCAAGCACAAAATCTCAGAGCCAGACACCCTTGAGAGTGCATCAGCAACTGCATTCTCACTACCACTTCTATACACAATCTCATAGTCGAACCCCATTAACTTGGATAACAATAGTTGCTGAAATGGAGTTGAAATCTTTTGTTGTAACAACCACTTAAGACTCTTTTGATCTGTCTTAATTACAAACTGCTGCCCAATTAAGTACTGCTCCCATTTCTGAACTGCAGTCACAACAGCCAAGAGCTCTTTTTCATATACAGATAGCTTTTGCCACCTAGGTCCAAGAGCTTTACTCAGAAAAGCCAAAGGATGACCTGTTTGCATAAGGACAGCCCCAATCCCCATATTAGAAGTATCAGTCTCAATTTCAAAGGGTTTTGAGAAGTCAGGCAAAGCAAGAACTGGAGCTGTGCTCAAAGCTGTTTTCAAGGAATCAAAAGCCAACTGAGCATCACTGTTCCAGTTAAATTCACCTTTCTTTAATAACTGAGTTAAGGGCTTACAAATATAACCATAACCCTTAACAAATTTTCTGTAGTAACCTGCGAATCCCAGAAAACTTCTCAGCTCTTTCACATTTTTAGGAGTAGGCCACCTAACAACTGACTCAACTTTCTTATGGTCAGTTTCAACCCCTTTTCCAGAAATAAAGTGCCCCAAATACTCCACCTTGTCAATTCCAAAAGAACACTTACTCATCTTAGCAAACAAAGTATTCTGTCTCATCAATTCAAAGACAGACCTCAAATGCAACAAGTGATCTTGCAAGGTACTACTGTAAATCAAAATGTCATCAAAGAAGACCAACACACATTTTCTAAGCAAGGGCCTAAAAATGTGATTCATCCAACTCTGAAATGAAGCTGGAGCATTTGTGAGTCCAAATGGCATAACCAAAAACTCATAATGACCATTGTGGGTTTTGAATGCAGTTTTGAACACATCTGCATCATGTACCCTTAACTGATGATATCCTGCTCTCAAATCAATTTTGCTAAAAATCCAAGAGCCAGCCAATTCATCAATCAGCTCATCCACCACTGGTATAGGGAATTTATCCTTAATAGTTTTCTTATTAAGTTCCCTATAGTCTACACATAGCCTCCAAGAGCCATCCTTCTTTCCCACAAGCACTACTGGTGAAGCAAAAGGACTGCAGCTGTCTCTAATAATACCTTGCTCCAACATTTCTCTAACCAACTTTTCAATGGTGTCCCTTTGAGACAAAGGATACCTATAAGGCCTAATGCTCACTGGATTAGCTCCAAACTCTAAAGGTATCCTGTGATCAAAAACTCCTCTATTTGGAGGTAAGGCCTTAGGCTCATCAAATATATCCTTGAACTCGTGCAACAAACTTGAAATACTGCTGGGAATATCTGCTATTTCAGTTTTCAGACAGAACATCTCAGTAGCTGAATTCTCAGGAATCAATTGCAAAAAATACAACTGACCAGATTGATTAAGAATCTTGTCAGCTTTCTGGCCCAGAGTAGCCACCACTTTCTTAGGTTTCTCTCCCTGAAGCACATAATTCCTTCCACAAAAATCGAATTCCATTACCAGCTTCCTGAAATCCCAACTAATTTTACCCAACATACTCAACCACTGTACACCCAAAACCATATCACAACTCCCTAAAGAGATCAACAACACATCAGAAACAAATTCAGTGCCCTGAATAGACCATTTAAACTCCTTACAAACATGCTGACAAGCCAAATGATTACCATCAGCTACAGTCAGTGCTTGAGGGGAAATACTCTCAATTTTGCACCCAAGTTTCTTAGCAACATTAATATCTAAGAAATTGTGGGTACTTCCAGAATCAATCAAGACATGTAAGGGGCTATTGCCACAAACTCCAGTTACTCTCATAGTCTGGAAGCTAAGATTACCACTTAAAGCACTTACAGAAATTTGGGGATCCATATACTCAACTGCAGTAGCTGACTCCTGCTCCTGCTCAAACTCCATCACCTCTTCATCAGACTCATCTTCCCCAGGAATTTCTACTTTAAACAATTGGGTTTGTTTAAGGGGACATTTGTGATTTCTCTCATAGGGCTGATCACAAAAATAACACAACCCTTTTAATTGTTTTTCCCTTCTTTCAGCAGCGGTTAGTGTAATCTGGGGTTTATTAAAGGGTCTGGAAGATTGAAAGGGCACCAAAGCACCAGAGTTTGTAGTACTAGGCTTGAAACTAGAACTAGAAACTGTACTCCTAGCACCAGAAGGAAAATAGGATTTACCTAAATTCTTGGATGCATCTAAACTTTCTTCCTGCAACCTAGCAAACTCAACAGCATCTGCTAGAGTCTGAGGCTTAAAAGCCTTAACAAAGGGCTTAACAGCAGGTTTCAATCCCCCAATAAAACTAGCAAGGAAATATGAATCAGGCAACCCATGGTTCTGCTGTAACATCAAGGATTTAAGTTCCTCAAAGTCATCAACATATGACTCAATTGAACCCACCTGATGCAACTTATTAAAATTCTCAACTGCATTAGCAGATTTAGAATCCTTAAATCTAGCAGCCAAATCAACAACAAAATCTGTCCATTCAACATTACTTCTACCAGCCAAATAGCTAGCAACCCACACCTCAGCTTTATCAATCATATTCAAACTAGCAAGATCAACCTTCTGTTCATCACTAATTTTGCACAACTTAAAATACTTGTTGCACTTTTTAATCCACAATCTACAATTATGGCCATCAAATTTAGGAAACTCGAGTTTAGGAACATACCCAAGAGTCCTGGTTGGATTGGACCCTCCATCACAAGATTTCGGAGTAGAAATTGGAGTAGATACTGGAGATTTGGTCCCAACTTCATCCAATTTCGTGCTCAAATCCTCCATCATCTTCAGCACACGTTCTTGAAAAATTGAGCTGACCTTCTGCTGCTCACCCAATCGCAATTCAAGATCCTTAACTTGCTGCTCAACAGACACCATCCTCTTTACTGAAATTGGTGCCAGGAATACACCAAAGAATATCCAAGAAACAGGAATTGCAGCGAAAAATCGAAGAAAATCGAAGGAAATCAATCTGGGTATTTTCGATTGAACTGGGTATTTTCAAGAATTCAGAATTCCTGAAATGGGTTTGCTCTGATACCAATGTAACAGTACACAAGATATGTACTGGAATCTCAAGCAATTATCACTAAGAATTAGCGATTTCAATGGAGAAACTCCATTGATGACTCAAGAAGAATACAGAGGAATATCAGACGAAGAAGTAGAGAGAGAAACTTTGGGATTTCTATTTCTTAAGAATTGAATTAAAAAAAAATATTACATTGATTACAGATATTAATACTTTGTAAGGAACTAAAAATATCTCTAACAAACTTATGCTGACTCATCAAAACTAAGCTGACTCAACTCCCAACTAACCACCTATTACAGTATTAGTTGATTTGAGACTTTAAAAAACCAAGAAGTAAAAAAAATTTGTGTTAATATAGAAGAGGTTTCTCTTGGATATCTTTCCAAGTCCAATTGCTCTATAACGAGAAATGTGCCGGTTTCTGTGCATCATAGTGTAGCACCATCAATAAATTCTGGAGATATATATGTGAGAAAACAGCATAACAGCTGTGAAAAGACATTGATAATCATGATTATCTGTTTATCACAAACAGCACTTGTCACCATGCTGCCTGAGGGAGTATAATTCACCAGTTTACTGATTAATTGATAATTTCCTATCAATATATTTTAGAACTTCAGAATAGAAGTAATTAATCAAAATTAAAAGAAGACCGCACAAATCCTGCTGTCAAAATTTGGTATCTACAGTCTTTATTATGTTGGGGCAGAGTTTTAACTCAGTGTTTAGCAAGATCAGTTGTTTTACACAGCTCATTCTGTGAATGTTTAGCAACACTCAGTGTTTAGCCTCTGATGTGAAAAGGGGTGGGAGGAGGATTGAGGGGTGTTTTTGATGCTTTCCAATGCTATAGTCTCTTCCTCTTGTAGCATGATTACTACTTTTATGCAGACATACTAGTTACACGTACCTAGACTTTTGTATCAGCTGAAAATCATTTGAAGTGCTTGTTGTTTGCATTATCTTATTGCTCTATTCCCTTTTTTTTTTTGAGAATCACATAGGCAATCAGCAGCATGACTTCTTATTTTGTTGTCTTATTATTAACCTGTGTTAACTTTGTCTGCAGTTTGGGCGGATGCTGATACATGGTTTGAGAGACAGCAGATGGAAGAAGAAATGCAACGTCTCCAGGCTGAGCACAAAGCTTCAATAGAAGCAGCTGAGGAATTGCACAGAAAGAAATTGGCCGAGGATCGAGAAGGGGAAAAAGAGGATGACCCCATGGCTAAGGCTGAAGCAGAGGTCTTACAGCAGAATCAGAGTTGATAGTTCTCGACCTTCTTTTACTTGAAGAGAAAAATAGAGGGAGTCCAGGGAGAGCTGTTTTGACATCATCAGACACACTTTTACTTGTGGTTTTGCTTCTAGAGATCGCCTAGATAGATGTATAAACAACGGCGTTAGTGATAAATGGAAGTGTTTTGCAAAGTGATTTTCTTCTAGAGATTGCTGGATAGATGTATAAACAACGGCTTTAGTGATGAATGAAACTGTTTTGCACCTATAGTTAAAAAGGAGGTACTCCCTCCGTCCCCGATTGATAGTCACTTTTGTCATTTTTGGTGACTCAAAATGTTGTTCACATTTGCTTTTTTCAAGTACCATTAATATTATTTTTTTACCAAAATTCTCTAACATTTGCAAAAATATTTGTGCAAAATTAACTTTCCCATGTAAATTTTACTTTCCCATGTACTTTAATTACTTTCTCTTTCTACTTTTTTACATACCCAATGTAAATTTACTTTTTCAATGTACTTTCTTTAATTCTCCTTAATTCCCGTAATTTTTCTTCAAAAGTGACTATCAATCGGGGACGGAAGGAGTATCTGACAATCTAATGTGCTTTAACTGTTAACTTTCTCCTGTCCCCAGAATCATGCTAGGGGAGGGAAGCATTTGTATTTTCCCGGAAAGATTGTGGCTAGCGTCTTTAGCAGTTGGGGTGTTTCACCACACCAGTCAGCTAGAATGAAAATCTCTTGTGCATTAGGTCAATGTTGGTGAATTGATGAATAAAAGAAGAATCAAAGGTGACAGGAAAAAAAGGGCATGTGCTAAGGCCATATTTTTTAATTTTTGATGGAGATAATTCAAAATGGTCTCATTTTATGAATACAGTATGTTTTATTTAAGAAATGGTGAAGTGCCCTTGCTTTCTACAGTTAGTACTATGTAAAATAGAGCAGTACAAACCACACTAGTCGAATGGCATGAGGTGCCAAACCTGCAGTATATAGTTTAACCATTGTAACCACCCAAGTCAAATTATGTGAAGCATCAAGCCTATTTTGAATCTCTATTCCTTTATGTATACGTTTATCAACATTTATATATTTACTCAGCATTTTACTAAGGAGATCTTGTGTCGTAGGCTCATGGCTCAGATCGGTGGTGCCAAAGATCATGGTTTGTCAAGTATATCATCACAAACTATATAGCATCTATTGTAAATTAATAAATTGACAGCATGAGGCTGTATGCCTGTATCACTGAAGCATTATGAACTCTAGCAGTGTTGCAGTGGTAGAAGCAATAGTTGATGGATCTTTATATAGCTGCAGGGTGATTGCAGATTTCATCTAAATACTCTTCTTGAATGTCCTATATATAACAACGATCCAACTCTTCTTTTCCATCTCTCATCTTGTTTTCTCGAGCCTAGGCTAAAATATCCGAATTCTGCATATTCCGGGTAAGTCTATTGTAAGCCCCCTAGTAGAATTTCTTAATAATTAATTAACCCTAGAGCTCAACTTTGAAGCAACAAACATTTGCTTATAATTATTGCCATATTTCAAGCTGTTGGCATTTTGCATAACAGTAGGATCTCCTATTTCATACATGCAAAGAATATAAGAACTCAAGGATAAAACAACCTTGAAATCTGCAAATCATTATGAGCAATAGTTGTATGATATATGATTTACTAAGGCCAAACATAAGTCAATTTATCTAAATTTGTTACTGCAGACAATGGTATACAATTTGTTACAGCCTATTTTTTATAGGCACAGAGATATAAGAGAAACATGAAAACAAACCCTTTAAGTACCTAAAAATGGTTAACTATCCCCCTTTTTAAGCATAGCATCACATAACTTGACAGCATCAAGGTTATCCCTAACATTATGTACTCTAACTATATTTGCACCGCCCAAAACTCCAGCAGAGATGGAAGCGACAGTAGCTGGATCTCTATCAGTTGCTACAGGACGATTGCAAATCTCACCCAAAAACTTCTTTCTTGAAGGACCCATTAGTAAAGGGCTATGAGACAAGGCCAGACTCTTCTTTGCCAACACTTGCCGTAATTTTTTCAAACCTGAAAGAAGTTCCAGATTTTGATTTGTATTCTTGGAAAATCCAATGCCTGGATCGATAATTATCCTCCAAGCAGGAATCCCTGCTGATTCAGCATCCATGATCCTAGAGCTCAACTCTAAAGCCACTTGCTCGCAAACATCATTATATGTCAAGTTTTCAGTATTTTGCATCGAAGTAGGATCTCCTCGCATATGCATTGCAATATAAGGCACTTTAAGGCCTGCAACCACGTTGAACATCTCAGGATCCAGTCTTCCACTAGAGACATCATTCACAATGTGTGCCCCTTTCTTCACAGCTTCAAAGGCAACTTTTGAATTAAAAGTGTCCACAGATAAAATTCTTCCTTCTTCCTCAATTATCTCCTTAACAGCTTCTAAGACAGGGACTAATCTTTCTAGTTCTTCCTCAGCAGAAATCCTAGTTGCCATTGGCCTTGTGGATTGAGCCCCAATGTCAATTATATCAGCGCCTTCCGAGATCAACTGACTAACTTGAGAAACTGCACTTTTCACAGATAGAAACTTCCCTCCATCACTAAAGCTATCGGGAGTCAAATTCAAGATTCCCATTACAGAGGTTTTCTGAGACCAATCCCACATGTGATTTCCAACTGGCAAAACTCTTTTCATTCCATCCTTCCCAATAAGTGATTCTCCGCCAAGTTTTTCCCATGCTTCAAATAGTCCACCAGAAAAAATTGATAATGAATGCCAAGAAGCAATTGTGTCATTTTCTACATCATTCCCAATTATGTCCATTAATGGAGCCATCACAAATGGTCTCTCCCATATCCGTTCATGGGGAACTATGAGATTCTCAGTTCTTACCCTGAACTTCCCGTAAAATAGCACATCCAAATCAATCGGCCTAGGGCCATATCTTATTCCATTAGTTCGACCCATATCCTTCTCAATTTTCTTCAGCATCCCTAATAGTTCTTGAGGCCCAAGTTTTGTAAAGCCTCTCACAGCAGAGTTAAGAAACTTGGGTTGATCAGTCACATAGGCAGGATCTGTCTCATATAAACAACCATGTCTTGTGATGTTTATGCCTAATTTCTTCATTAGGTGCAGAGCTTGGTTGAAATTTTCTATTCTATCTCCTATATTGCTCCCGAGTGCAATTACGACTTCATGTTCCTTGGAACAAACTTCAAATGAGGCTTCTGCTGATGAGTGAAGGAAAGAAAGAGATGAAGCTGCAAAACCACAGCTTCATAAGTGCATATTAACATCCATTTACTTTTAGAAATAGAAACCTTTTAATTATAGCATAAATCATAAGGGCATTCCATTATCCTATCAGGCACTGCACAAATATTAAGTGGAAAACAAAAAAAAAGGAAAATATATGATCATTTTATCAGTGATCCTATCTAAGAGCCCTAGTGATATCCAGATCGCCGATTTAGATCTTAGCTTTCGGTGAACATGAAAACAAGTATATAATTGTGCAAAAACGTAGATACATTATATCTCAGACTTCCCCAACTAGTGAGCAATGGAATAAATTTGGAGTCTAACTGTTTATCTGCAGATTAAAGGATAGAAGAATTCATACAAGGACAATTTTGCTTTACCTCTACCATACTTTGAAATATCCTTCCAGATTAATTGGGTTGATTTCAGCTGCTTAAGCACATTCAACATGACTATAATGCCTCTATCAAATATGCCAAGTCGAAAATCTTAATCTTAAACCATCCAGTTCTTCAGTCCACTGCAATTCAAAGTTAAAATCATCAAAAGGGATTGTCACAATTAGAGCACAATGTCATGTAATGAACAGAAATTGAGCATTATATTCGATAATAAAGAGCATATACACAAAAAATAAAAAAAAATAAAAAAAAATAAAAAAAAAACAATTAAATTGATAGATTGAAAGAGAATTGTCAAATTAAGATGCACTCAACTCAGCAAAACATATAATCTCTTCTCCATCATTATTAAATTACTTACAAAAAATACTTTTAAACACATTTTTTTTGTTGATGCAAAATTCCTCAATAACATACATTGCCTTCTCCATTAGCATTATCCTAATTACATAAGTAATGATGAAACATTAAATGAAATAATGAACCTTGATTTTGTTGTAAGTCACAAGTAATCATACACACCATATAACTGTACAAGTAACATAACAACTACAATTTCAATCAAAAATTACAATCAAATTTACACCCCCAAGAAAAAGATTTAAAAAAAAATTGAAATCATTCAATTAGAAATCGATTATAAATTTTCCACTACAGACTAAAATTACAAACACCCACATCACAAAATAACTATAACAACAATCAACAAGTAAATTTACAACAACATTAATAAAAAAAAAAAAATTGATTTTGCAAAATTGACTAACCTTTGAAAATGAAAGAGAAAACCTTTAAAGAGGCAAGAGGGTGCAGTGGGGTGCGGGGCTAGTGGGTGGTCCGGTGGTTTTGATTGGTAGAAATAGAGCTTTGGGTTATGGAGTAGAGTATAGAGAACGCTCAAACGGCTCTATGCAGCTATGCTACTATAAGCAATTGGACTTGACTAGTGACAGCACTAATCCAATGAGCAAGGCCCAGTTTTGTAACGTCAATAAATGAAAATTGTTTATCAAATGACTTTTTAAAAAAAAAAGGTAAGGAGAAGAACTTGAGAGTGAGGGGGAAAACGTAAGTCGTACCCACACTTAACATCTAGCCTTAAGGTTGGAAGGTACAATCTTTACTATTACACTAAGATTAGTTTAGTTTATTAAATGAACAATATAGTATACTATTGCAAGATAAATTTGTATATGAGTGACAAAATAAAGAGAGAGATTTAAAAAAAAAAAAAAAGGCATATGATGCAAAAAGAGATTGAGACACATGACAACTTAAAAAGAAGTAAAAGTTGGGGAGGGGTTGCCGGCACCAGGGAATGGCCTTGCACTTGTTTTGAGCATCGTGTCTCCGTCTTCTCTTGAATTGCGTATTGAAGGATCTTGCCTTATGAATCTGTATGAACTCTATCTGCAGTTCTTGGATCTTCCGATTCATCTATTACTGCTTAACAGCAATTCAGACTATCCTGTGTTTTTCTGCAGTGATACTTCATTCATCAATGGTGACAAGGTGAGGCAAAGACTCCATTTTTTAATATATGATATATTTAACCTATTTTTTTTATATATATAACCTATTTCTGATATTTGGATGTGACATCATTTATGGTGGTCCCCATTGAAAATGGTGTTATTAAGTTCTCGTTAAGACTCACCAAGACTTGCCCAAATTTATTCCTTTAGCCCTAAGACTCAAATATATGACAAAAAAAAAAGGATAATAAAAATAAAATTGAGGTGGGTTCCAATCTCAAGTGTAAGTTCAGTCTTGGAATTTCAAGACTCAACTTGAGACTTGCTTGAGATTTAAGAAGAAAAATAAGGGAAGTCTTAAACATAAGTTTTGAGACTCAAGATGATGATATCACTCCAAGTCTTAAGACTTGGGGCTAAACTTGCTCAACTTCTTTCTCATTCAATTACAATAAATCTAACAACTTATTATAAACGCAGACATAAACTGAAATAAAAATAAAAGGACAAGCTAGGTAACTGGGATATTGATGCATGCATGATTTGCATCTACTACATCCACGGACTATTAATAGCATCCACACTGGTGGAGTAGCTCACAATTTCTCTCTCCAATTTTACTTCTTCCACATCATATTTCACTAACTTGAGTCACTCATTTACTTTTTTCACAATGGTGAGCTAGCTTACTACAACTAAAAAAATTGTTTTATGTTAATTTTGGACAAAAAAATTAAATGAAAATATAAAAAATTGCCACTTGTCTTCTCCTTGTTTGTCACTGGGCTCGTGTGCCGAGGTTGTCAGTGACTTGGAATAGGGAGGAGCATCATCTCATGAGTCACCTTTCACAATGGTAAGCTAGCTCAAAATAAGAAAGAGTGTGTTGTAGGGAAGGTCTTGACTCTTGAGTCACCCAATGTGGGTGCTCTAAGGTCTCGTTTGCTTGAATGTGGGAAATGCACATTCTTTGGAAAATTTATAATTCCATGTAATTGGAAATTCCATTTATATGACCAATTGGCCTTATTGTCTCAGATAAAATTTTGACCCGAAAGTAATACATCTTTTATTTTGTTTTACTATGTACTTGTAACATGTTGACACCTGTCTTTATTCGCAAAATTTTATTATCGTATTTAGTGACTGATAAGTAAAGTATAATTGAGTGCAACCTTGCTAGATCTGTGTAAATGTATTAATCTATTGCATATTACTAAATGCGAACTGAAAGAGATTCTTGACAGCATCATATTAAAAAAAAATTCCTCAAAAGTATTTGCTTACAAATAAAGTATTCTTACTCTAACAAAAGATTGTATCTAAATACTATAATTGGTCTATCGAGTCCTTATATTTTTATACCCTTTTTATAATCTATATACTATATATTAAAAGACGTTTATAAAATTGTGTATGTGTCACACGAACCCTTTTTTACACCCGTATTACGCCACATCATCATTCAACAATCTGTACCATCATGCCACATCATCATTCAATTATCCAAATTAAATTAAAAATGCATGCAAAGAAATTCGAACCTAAACTTCATTGAATAAAAACCACATGCATTGTCATCTTAGCTAGAATTAAATTATAATCTATGTTTCCACATTTATGTATAAATACATATAGTCCAAGTATTATAATGTAATATAAAACCAAAAAAATCCAAAATGAGGTATTGTTGTTGATTAGGGGATTTTTCCCCACCAATCACCATCTGACAAGTGGACCAATCAGGTTCCGCCATGTGTCCGTCACATGGGCCAATAGGAGACTGCCACGTGTCAAGCAATGATCCGTCCACTATGGACCAATTACGACACAACACGTGTCCTTCCCATGACACCTGGGATAACCGGTCACCTAGGCCCAACTTCCGAGGGAAGCCCAATCGGCCCAAGGTTAACCTAAACCTAGATTGGCACGTTTCCCGAGGTTATAAATACCTCCCTTAATCCTCATTAAGGGAGATTACGCAGATTACACACATTAAACTCTCTCACCTAGAGAGACCCAATCACTTTAATTTCCGCATTAATTACTCCTTAATCAAGTACTAACTTGACCGTTGGAGGCGGAGCTCCAATCATCCGGAGCATCCGTTTGTTTTGCAGGTACAGGCGTCCGGTTCCAGTCTCGAAATTGTAACTTTCCCGCAGGACATCAGAAAACCCCGAAACATTTTGGCGCCGTCTGTGGGGAGAGTACTTCTGAGATGGCATCCACGTCTGTACCGACTCCTGAAGAGAGACGTCCCCTGGACGACCCTCTAGTTCAGTCGGACCACGATACTGAGAATGAATTTGAAGTTGAAGCTCACACAGCTTCAGACGGGACCCTAAGGGCCCGACGTACCCGTCATACCAAAAGGAGGGAATGGGAACATCTTCAAACTGGAAGTGAGCCAGCAGGCGCACCGCCTGTTCGGCAGCAGCCGACTGATGGGTCTGCTCCCATCACAAGGAACGAACTCATGACCTTCATGAGGGACTTCAAGGGAGAAATTCAAGAGTTGATCAACAAGAAGCCGCCTGCTCTGGACAAGGAGCAGTCGGCTAAGAAACCCTCCACTTCACGGAAGAGGAAGCCAGTTCAAGGGCGAGAGGCGACCCCTCATCCTAAATCTAGGAAGTGGGAGCCACCTGCCCTTGATTTCACAAAATACCGTTTTCCTACTCCAGGAAATAGGAAACCTGTTCGTCATATTCAGGGGGACGGGTCGAGGAAAACATACACAGACGCTCGGCTACTGCTAGAGCAGAAGAAGAGTGACCGATTGTCAGAGTCGGCCTCTACTTTAAACTTCCAAGACAGTCTGCGAAATACCTCGATGAGGCATACTCAGTCGTATCATGAGGGTCAGTAAGGCGGCACCTCCCGTCAGTCCGGCTTTCATAGCGACCAGGCGGTACCAAACTTACCGTTTGTACCACAACAACAGTATTTTTTACAGCCACCTCCGTTTGGTGGACATGCAGCAAAAAATGTCCAACCTATGGGCTGGCAGCTACGGTTGCTTAGACTTGGCGAACAGCCGTCGGCCTTCTCCAAAGAAATTACTAAAGCCGCTCAGCCGGCCAAAGTGAAAAATGTATTAGTAGGCGCCTATGACGGCACTACTAACCCAGAAGACCATCTGATGGCATTCACCAACCTGATGTACCTTCAAGGGTTGGATGATCCCACTTGGTGCAAGTGTTTCCCAGCGACTCTCAAAGGAATCGCACAACAATGGTTCGGCAACCTGCCGACTGGTTGTGTAAATAACTTCAAGACGCTTGCTTACTTATTCACCTCCAACTTCGCCATGAACATCCCTGCGAAGAAGACGACCCTTGATTTAGGAACAATTCAGCAGGGCGAGAAGGAGGGGCTTCGTTCTTACATCAGGCGATTTAACCTGATGAGAATACAGATTCAAGGGTTACCGGATGAAGTAGCCTATACTGACTTTTTCAGAGGTCTTAAAGACGGGTCGACCTTCAAATTTGATTTGGTCCGAAAGAGGGTGGCGACTCTTCAAGAGGCCTTGATTGAAGCGGAAGCCTATATACAGGCGACTGATCTTTGTAGTACGGTAAAACAGTCAGACGGGAGAAGGTCCGACAAAAGAGAAGGACGACAGAAACAGTCGTCAAACAAAGATGAGAAGAGAAAAGAGGTCTGGGCGTCTGATTCCTCTAAACAGCCGGCCCAGAAGAAGAAAAAAGAATTCAAACCATACTCCCCAAAGTATGCGTTTAACAAGGATAGCCAATTTATCCTAAAGGAAATCAAGGGACGGATCTCAATTGAGAAGCCGGTCCCCATGAAGGGTTCTGCAAACAACCGGAACCAAGAAAAATTCTGTGATTATCATGAAGATGTTGGTCATCACACCAATGAATGCATCAGTCTCATGCGGTATCTGGACCGCCTGGCTGAGCAAGGTGATCTTGACACTTATGTCAAGAAATCTACGGGGAAAACTTCCTCGAAAAAGCAGTCGGCCAAAAAGAATCAACAGGCCGACAACTCCGATACAGATGATGCAGTCGTCTACACCATTGCAGGCGGCTTCTCAGGAGGCGGCCCCACTATTAGGGGCAACAAAGACAATATCAGACGGTTAGATGTAAATTCCGTTCACCAAGAACGGCCCTCCAAATATTCATTTCCTGAGGTTGTCATCACTGAAGAAGATCTAGGAGGGGTAAGAGGGCCGCATGACGACCCTATCGTTATTGAATGTAAAGTGGCCAACCAGAGAGTTGGCCGAATCCTCATAGATACCGGAAGCTCCTCAGATCTTATCAGTAGCAAATGTCTGTCGAAACTAAAATATCAGACTGATTGCATACATCCGGCATCCCACCCTTTAGTAGGGTTTGGAGGAGGAGTCGTCCACCCAGTGGGACGAGTGGATTTACCCATCCGCCTGGGCGAAAAAGGGGAAGGACTACACATGGTAGTCCGGTTCCTGGTAGTAGAAGAACTCTCGGCCT